CTCCTCCTCCTCCTCCTCCCTCCTCACCTCCCTCCGACACGCCGCATCAACCCTCACGGGCCGATACGTCCCACCAACCCCAACCCACCAGCCCAAACCCCCCGCGACATCCCCCAAACCCACCGACACCAAAAACGCCCTTCCCCGACGCACCTCCCTGGCCGCCAGGCCCTCGGTCACCGGCGCCAGGGCACGCAACACCTCCGGCTCTGGCAGCGCCAGCAGAGGACCAGAACCGAGACCACCACCTCCAGACAGCAGAGCGCTGTGCTGGTGGTTCTTACGCCGCTCCTCAGCGATGAGGTTGAGGAGGGCCGCGAGGTCGGCCCGGGAGAGATGGAGGGCGGCGACGGCGACGGAGAGAGGGACCGAACGTGTCATGTCGGCTATTATGGCGTATTGGACGCCCGGGGGGAGGGAGGACCATTGCGGCGCGGGGGAGGAGGAGGGGGGTTGTTGGGGAATCTATTGGGGGGAGATGGTCAGTGAGATAGTTCTTTCTTCGTTTTTCTGAGTGTAATTGGGAGAATGGGTGGTAATGATTGTGTCGTCATTCGAAATGTGTGTGGGGGGTCTTTCTCGGGCGTTTTTTCTTCGACGGTTCATGGTCTGTCACTACGGCCGATTGTTGTTTATTCCGACTTTGCTGTTCTCTAATTCTCGTTCGTGAATCGAGTTGTGAATTGAGTCGTGTTTTGCGGATAATTTGCGTTTCGACGACGCTGTCGCGACGGTTCTGCTTTCCGTATTTCGACGGCGGTCGTATCCGGCGAAATCGTATGTCGTGACGAAGAATAACGACCCGAAACGACCGATACGACCAAGAAAACCGACCGAGACCGGTAAACGAAAAGCGGGTGATGACCGGAAAGACGCCGGAGACCGTGAAGGGAAACCAAAAAACAAACAACGAGAATCAAAAATAAACATACCTCCTTTCGCCCCACGTCCGGGCCGCCATGATTCGGCAGCTCGCCGGCGTCCTCCTGCCGAGGAGGAAACACCGCAGTCTTGGCCACTCGGGCCGGGTCGGCATCTTGGTCGTTCGGCCAGGCATTAGTCGGCCGAGGGTCGGGGGTGATGGCCGGGGGTGCGGCAGCAGCCACTGCCATAGCAGCAGCAGCTGGCCGCTCCTCCGTGATTGACATGTCGTCAATCATCTCTTCCAGGCTGCTGCCAACAACCTGGTCCGAACGAGAACTATCATCCTCGCCCTCCTCTTCCTCACCACTCTCACTCCCACTCTCACTCCCACTCTCACTCTCCTCACTCTCACCATCTTCACCATCACCGGCACCACCCTCACCTGCCCCACCCCTAGCCGCAGCAGCCGCCCTCAACGCAAGACGATAGGCCTCCGACGGCCCCAGCTCCGGGTGGTTGAGCGGCAAGCTCGGGTGGGCACAGTGCGGCACCAGATCAGGGTTGAACGGCACATCCGGGTGCATGTACAATGGCCGGTCGGCACGCGACGGCCCAAAGTCTTCTTGGTACCGGCCTGGTACCCGTCTCATGGAGCTGTCGCGGAGTCCACGGCGTACCATGGTTGTTGTTGTTGGTTGGTCTGTTTGTATAGGGGGAATGGTTAGTTGTTACTCGTAAGTAAAGAATCAAGCGAATACAATGCTGGCTTACAGTTTCTTGTCAAAGGAAATTGGGCGTAAGAGGTTGAGAGCGAGCTTTGTCTTTCTTTCTGTTGTTAACAGAAAGCCGCAGGAATCGTTCTTCTTGTTGTTGAAAAGAAAGCCGGAGGAGTTCCTCTTCTCGTTATTCACAAAAAGAAGAACGGACAATCGGAGAATCTCCGCTCGTTTTCCATGAAAATGAAACCGGGCGTTCCCTGATCATTTCTCACAAAAAGAAAACCGGGCAGTCTCTTCTCGTAACGAGAAAGATAACAAGAAAGAAAACGGGCGATCTCCGCTAGTTTTCCACAAAAAGAAAAACGGGCGTAAGACCACACGATACCGAGATTTGTAGTATGTAAAGTCGGTCGTAAAGTCGGTCGCGGGGTCAAAGTGTGTGGGAGTGGGAAGAAAAGTTTGTGGGCAGGGAGGAAAAGGAAGGGCTTGGAAGGAGGATCAAGATCAAATTCTCAAGGCTGCCTGGGTAACGTGACCTCCTTGAGCGCGACCAGTGCGAGTATCTGTTGCTGAACAACGGTGTTGAGGTAGTTGGCAAGACCGGTTACAGCGATAACGCCGCCAGAGCTTGGTGTTGTGAAGGGGGGGGCATATCAAGGGGGGATAAACAACAAAACTTTGGCTAAGCACCATGGTCCTATACCACTCTTACTTGGCTGGGTGAGAACTGGCTTTTATGGCCCCCACTCGGTAAAGAGTTAACAAGTAGTCATAAACACCAATGTTGGTGAGATCCCACGATGGTTGGCAGCAAAGAAATCAAGTCTTTGAGAGTACAGACGACCTGGGCAGGGCAAGGGGCACGAACAACACAACAAAACCAGTGTTGCCCATATTGCTCCGGGCACAAACTTCTATTCATGAAAGACGAAACCTCGATAGGCTGAACTCCGATCTAAGATCACGTTGTGCCTTTTCCGAAATAGATAATCCGTAACTGCCAACTTGAAATCTACGGCCTCAACGCGTGAGACGCGTAGACGCGCGTGTTCTGAGCTACCGCTATAAGAATATGTCCGCCTCAAATCTGGTGAGCCTACAACCATCACCCCATCCACAGATTCACAAAGACTAATCAACTCGCTTCTAAATGAGTAAAAACACCAACTTTTGACTTGGACTCCATGTTGAACCAAATCAGTACCTAAAGGGGCTGTTTGTTTACTTCAGGGGTATTCGTGCTCAGGGGCTAAATAACCGAGAAAATAAATGTGTGTTTCTTGCGCCCGTGCTCCATTCCTGAGTAGTTTACTTTATCTTCCATGAGGCCACTCAGACACTAGGTATTCGGTTGGGCAGTTATTTCCGCCTTGTTGCCCAATGCTAGTGTGGTTGTGTGGCAACCTAGGAGACGGTTTTGCGGCAAATGGATTTTGGTCGGTGGTTCCACCGAACTTATGAATTTTAAAGATTTTAAAAGTCACCATAGCACCAAAATATGCTCATACACCTGGATGTGTGACCTTGTGGTTTGGCATGTATAAACAGGTATAAATTCATCGCGCACTCTACCCAGTAATAAGCACTATACCACCCCATCACCTCTTAGACTCCCCCTCATGCGTTGTATCCTGCGCCTCCCTCCGCGCCTTAGCACTCGCCTTCAGCTTCTCCCACCGGTCCCGGTACTTCTCCAGCGTCACCTGCAACTTGAGATGATCCTTCTCTAGACTCTCCATCCGCTTCACCATCTCGCTCATCTGCTCCTCCAACTCCCGATTCCGTTTCTTCAGCGCCTCGTCTCCTCCTGCTCCGGCTCCTACTCCAGCAGGCCCAGGCCCTGCTGCCGCGATGCCAACTCCGCTAGAGGACATCGGCGACCCGGGCCGTTGAAGACGAAGACTCTGCGCTAACGCGAGATGCGAACTCTGCGAGTTGAGCTCAAACGCGTGCAAGCGCTTGCTGAGTTTGTCCAGGACATCCTTGAGGCTCGAGTTCTCGAGATGGAGCTCCTCTACCATATTCCGTAGCTCTTTGTCAGACCGGCCTTTGCCTGTCAGGCGCTTGCGGAAGCCTGTCGGCGATGTTGGGATTTGTGACTCGCGGGCATCGACAAAATCGTCTTCGTCTTCGTTGTCGTCGTTGTCGTCGGCGCCGCCGCGGTGGAATGATGCTGCCATCCGGCGCTTTTCCTTGTTTTCGTGGTTGAGGATGCTGGCGTAGGATGCGGTGTGGCCGCTGGTAGGCACGACGTAGAAGGAATCTGTGGCACTGTGGCCGTCGCGTTCGAGGGAGCGGAGGGTCGCGCGAGAGTAGATTTTGGAAAGGTCGGGTTCGTTCGTTGTCGTGGTAGAAGGTTTAGTTCGGGGTTTCCTTTGGGGCGTCTCGGTTGTTGGTGGAGGGACCGGGGTAGCTGATGGTTCCTCGGAGACGAGTGGCAAGCCGGTAAATGCTAGAGGTGCCGAGAGTTTGTTGATCAAGCTTCCAAAGGTACTGTAAAACCTAGCAAAACCTTCCTCGCTTGGCGCTGGGTTCGCCACTTCCGGCTTTGACACCCCGTTGGAAACATCCTCCTGGATCACGGGGGGTACCCAGCTTGGCTTCCGTGTGATGTCCGCTTGATCTGGGGTTTTACCCTTCAAAGAACCTTCCCTTCGAGGGTGAACTTCCAAACTGCCAGGGGCCAGATCATTTGAGACGCTGGGTTTGAGTGGCTGTGTGCTGTAACTCGCGCGTATACCTCTCGCGGACGCCAAGTTGCTAGCTATCGAAGACGAAAGGTTCCGCCCGGGATATCGCTGGTGTGACAACGTGGGCGGCGGTTTGGAAGACGATCTCGGATTTGCTGGCCGTATTTCTTTTCCCGCAGTCTTTGTCTTAGTAGAACTATCATTCTCCTGTTCCTGATTCTCATTTTCGTCCTCCTCTGGAATATCATCGACGCTGGTTTGGCTTGTTGGTGGGCTGATGGGTAGCTTCAATAACTCGGCTAGTCGCTTGTGGTGCTGCTCCAACAACCTTAGGGTGCGTAAGGCTTCATGACTGCTCGTTGACTTGGAGGCGTTTGAAAATTCACCGGCGGCTTGGGCATGTTCGTTGATGGCGACAGTGGTGTCAGAGGCCTGGGTCGCGAGTGACGCGGCGCGGGCGTGATCGTGCGCCTAGGGAGACGGGTCAGCCTCCCAACAACCAGTGTGTAAGTAATCGGGTGAACGCACCTTTGTTAAAGGGGATGTCTCCATGCTTTGAAGATGCTTATCGCATCGTGAATACGGCGCGGGCCGGAATGGGGTCGCATACAAGGCGCCTAAGAAGACGGTGAGTCCGTCCACAATGGTGGGGGGAAGCTCTCGCGAGGTGTTGCTGATCGCACGGACTGGTAACTAACGTTATCGGCCTCGAAATACCGCCTTATCGCAGCAACCCCTGCCTCGGGATGTGTAATGTTACAGGTATGGTTACATTACACCCTCAATTCCGGGTCACGGCAGGACGTTCTCGTCGAATCTGGTGGAGCCGGTGACGAACAAGGAGAGGCACACGGGCAACATCAAACACCCGGATGGTGGGGGGTTGCAGTCTCTCGTCCCAGCCATCGATGATCCAGTTTCGGGTTCTCCTTTTCTTCAAGCGGTCGATATTCTCACAAAATCACAAGAACTCCACCACATAATTAACGTTTCTGCACATCAACCGGGTGGTCATATACCAGAGCCAGGCCCTTAATTTTCCCTTTGATTAGCATCATTGCCTGCGGACAAGGCAGCCCCTTTCGCACAGTGGCCTTGGCGTTATGACGATGACATCGCACTTTCACAGGTAGCAGCAACACAAGGCTTGAGCGCAACGACTCTCGGACGCTGCAAAACTCTTTTTTGTTTTCTTTTCGCAGCCAGCCAACCATGGAGACCCAAACCAACGGTTTTGGCAAGCTTCTCCCCAAGTCTATCGCAGCAAAACGACGGCGCAACAGAAGTTCGTCGACCGTTGATAGTGCGAGCCTCAGCGATGACATCGCGCCGCAAAAGGGCGACATTCCTAGTCGCAGTACCACCAAGGACAGCGATTCCAACTCGTTGCGTGGCAGCCTGAAGGGCAACGTTACCGACCCGGTCGCGGATGATTCCGGCCCAGAAACGTGAGCTTCATTGTTCCTTTTGCGAGGACTCCAAACTCTGTTCTCTCTTTTCCACGAATATTTATCCATCTCCTCACTTCCATCTCGCAAATTCGCCCGATTCGCCAATTGCTTCCTCTTGGCGGTGCATTGGATGGAATGCGGAGTCGAGGCTCGAGCTAGGCTGTCCGCGTATTGCTCGTTCCGGCTCTCAGCAAGGCCATTTGCGGTGATGCACAGGTCCAACGCATCACTAGCGAGCTGGGCACAGGGCAGCTGGAAGCGAGCTCTGACGGCTTGAGCTCAGGCGGGTCAGCCCCCCCAAGACCTTCCCTGCAAAACCTCCACACCCACCTCAACTTGTCTGCGCCTCCCCCAGAACCCGTTTCTGCTGAGCAGGCGTTGGCCGTCGTCATCAACCTCGCCCCCGTCTTATTCTTCTTCACTCGTTCCATATTACATGTTACATTCCCGGCCGCCCGGTCTTGTCGTCCCAACACAGCGTTTTTTTTTTGTATTCCTAGTATCAGAGTCTCACCAAGGCCTGATGCACCAACTGACACGACACACTCTCTCAGCAGCAGCATCTTGCAGAGGCCGATCGCCATCTCTGCACATCCCTCCCAGATCGGCTACCTAACGACATCATCTCCCCTCATACAAGCGGCTCATAATCCTGAGCAGCTTCCCTCAAGCACGACATCTGAACAGTCTGTTGGGTCGCTTGCGTCCGCCCAGGATAGTACTGACAGTCTCGACTCTCCGGCCCCGACTCTCGACCGGAACCGGACCACCCTTGGCCCGCCAGAGCTCCGGTCCAAGCGGTCCACGAGCCGACTGAGGAACGTATTTCGATCGAAAAAGGCCCCGAGCGAGACGAATAGCACTACAACCGAGAGCAATACCGAAACACCCCTTGCGTCTGCCCCGAAAAGCGGTCCCGACCCCGAATCGCAACCTCCCACATCCCCTGTTACACGCGGCCGAGGTCTATCGCGGGGCCATAAGCTTGAGCCGTTGACCCTTCCGCCGCGAACACCCCCCGGGGATCCGGGTACGCCTGTGATCGTCAACACACCGCCAACCCCGACGAATTCTCGACCGGGCAGTGCCTCGGCTCCCGGCCCCCGTCGCCCCGCTGATGCGGTTGTCGCGGAGACCATGATCACCCAGAGACGGAGGGCTGGATCCAATGCCGGCCCAAGCAAGCTCTCCAATGTTGCCGCCCCACCACTGACACCCACCCCCGAGAATGGCCCCACGCAAAACAACGCGACCAGCACGTTTCTCTCCTCCATGTTTTCGGCTGTCCAGAACACGGCCAATCAGCTCAGCACTACGATTCCCGCACTCGCCCAAGGCCCTCCCAAGGGCAAGGCTACACCAGTAAAAGAGCAAGGAGAAAGGGAAGCAGCAGACTCGGTTGAAGTGGAATCAGTGGCTTCGCACCGGCCCTCTACCGAACCAAAGGAGCCAGCTGTCAAGACACTCGGCATGGGTGATCTTAGTCTTAGCCACCTTGGCATAGTCGAGCCACCTAGCACTGCACCGAGCCCCGTCGTGTCCCGTTTCGCGGATGTCGATACACGAGGGAGATCCGAGTCCGCCCCTCTAGACCCCCACGCGGCAGGCGTCGACCTCCTCGACGACGCCAATGGCTCGCGGCCGCGGTCGGTCCAGGAAGCCGCCGGCCCTGGCGAACGGACAACACCGGCCGGGAGCGTGTACGAAGACAAACCCGGCGTCCACCGCAGCGGTAGCATCCGCAGTGCTATTGGCCATCGTAGGAACCGTGGAAGCAGCATTGCCACACATGGGACGACGGCTACTAGCACGATAGGCGCCGCTATTGCGGCCGCCAATTCCTCTCTCGCTAACCCAACTACCGGCACTCCGAAGTTGACGGGGTTCGCCGTCGCCAACAAGAAGCGCAATCGCGACTTCCACGTGCTCTTCAAGAGCGTGCCCGACGACGACTACCTAATTGAGGACTATAGCTGCGCCCTCCAGCGGGAAATTCTCGCCCACGGCCGTTTGTACGTATCCGAAGGCCATTTGTGTTTCAGTAGCAACATCCTTGGTTGGGTCACCACCCTTGTGATGAGCTTTGACGAGATCGTTGCGGTCGAAAAGCGCAGCACGGCCCTCGTGTTCAAGAACGGCCTCGAAATATCCACGTTACATGCGAAGCATGTTTTTGCATCGTTTGCTAGCCGCGATACTACCTACGACCTCATCATCAAAATTTGGAAGCTTGGCCACCCACAGCTGCAGAGCTCTCTCAACGGTGTTCGGCTGGAGGAACCGGGGGGGGACCGGACGGAAAAGCTGGACGTTGAGGCAGTCTCAGTAACCGGAACCCATAGTATCTCGGGTTCCGACGATGAGAGCGAGGAGGGAGACGACGTGTACGACGAGGATGAAGATGACGATGGTAGCCAAGCTGCCGGGTCTGTCTCCAATGCCCCTGTCTCGGATCTCAACGAAAAGGCCGTTCCACGCAAGGTTTCAGGGGGGGCAGCGGCTGCCGAAAAGCCTGAGGACGGCTCATCAGGAGCGGCCGGCACGGATTTCCCTGGGCCTGCCACCCATGCGCCTACTGATTGCGGTGATTCGGCGACCCATTTCGAGAAAGTCCTAGGTGATGATGTTATCCCCGCGCCCCTAGGCAAAATCTATACCATGATGTTTGGCCCTGCCTCGGCGGCATGGATGGGCCAATGGATTACGACAAACCAAAAGTGTTTCGATCTGCAGATGGAGGATAAGCAGGGCTTGACGGATGCCATCCGGACTCGGAACTATACCTACATCAAGCCTTTGAATGCTTCCATAGGACCGAAGCAAACAAAGTGCGTGGTCACAGAGCAGGTGGAGCAGCTAGATCTCGAGAAGGCAGTCAGCGTTCTTGTGAGCACACAAAACCCGGATGTGCCAAACGGTAACCTCTTCGTGGTCAAGACAAGATACTGCCTGAGCTGGGCTGAAAACAACGGAACCCGGATCCAAGTCAATAATGTCATTGAATGGTCCGGCAAGAGCTGGATCAAGGGTATGTCTTCTGCCTACCCAGAATCCGATTTTTATTGCCCGCTAACCAAGTCTTAGGTGCCATCGAACGGGGAGCCAATGACGGCCAAACACAATACTGCAAGGATCTCTTCGCCAGCCTCAAGGCCGCCGTTTCTTCGCGTGTCCGAGCTAGCACTCTGAACGGAACTGCAGGCAAGGGCGGCAAGAAGCGTAGCCGCAAGCACAAATCAGCATTGACCTCGAACCCAACCAGCGACGTTGAGGGCACAGCAAAGGCCTCGTCTAAGCAAAATTGGGGTCTGTTTGAGCCAGCCCGGCCCATACTCAGCCCGGTTGTCGACATTATCGGACCAATTCTCACGGGCAATGTCGTCTACGGCCTTCTCGTTGGTCTACTCGTGGCGTCCTGGTTCGGCTTTGGCACCCGCCAAGGCGCACCTCGGTACACCCACGACCCAGCATACGCCAACGCGCCACAGCGGCTGGCGGCATATGATGAGATGTGGAGGCGGGAAGAGAGCGATCTCTGGAACTGGATCGAGGAGCGAGCCGGGTTGGAAAGGCTCGGTACAGACCCACCACTGAGGAAGAAGCGGAGTGTCGACCCGCGGACAGTGGAGGAGAAGCTGAGGGAGGAGAGGATGGATGAGAGGGAATTGAAGGAGGCGATTCGCGTCACGGAAGAGCATCTTGAAGTGCTAAAATCGGTGATTGGGAAGAAGGGGCAGCAGTAGCTGCGGAATCGTGGGATGGCTGGTCCAATTGGGTGAACCTCAACACAAATTCACCATACACCACAACTACAACACTCCGCTCGACGCACATCATCATCACATATTACACCACACTACACTCATTGGGGCACCCACCATGGTTTTTTTTCTTTGTTGTATCAGCTACTTTCTATGTGCAAGGTTTAGGGGTTTTATAGGTTGTGCATAAGCGAGCAATTCAAGTATACAAATTGTTTTGAATCAGGATGATCAGGTCAACTGGTATGGTGTTGAGACTGTGAGCCTTGAATACCGAGTACCAGAATTCTCTTTGATACCTATACACAATGTTGACGACGTACATCAGGCCTCCCTCAGGCGATAACCATCTTTAGGGACGTTTGAATCGCAAGATCAGTGAAGCATACCGAGATATGATAGTACTATATCATGGTGTATTTAGACAACTTATATGGCGCCCGTATGATCTGGCAAATAAACCTCTAGATGTTCCCGGCCTTTCCAATGCCTTCAGGTCTCTTTTCATTTTGCCAACCATGAGTAAACGCCATCCAATGCAATGGAAAACAAATCCAACCCCCCACATCGCCATAATTATATGTAGACGAAGTATCCCTTAAAACACAGCTTTACCCACCACCTCGTCAATTATCCCCTCACCACACATCCGGTCCAAACCTACCTCCCTCAGGCACCTCTCGGTACGCACACGCCTGCCAATCGCACCCTTGCTTATAAACCTCTGTCCCCCACCAACTAAACCCCTTCATCACACCTGTATACACAAACCCAAAGAACACCACTACAATCCCCACCGCGAGCCCTGAATCCAACGCCGCGCTCAGCGTCATCGTGTACTTGGCCCACCACGCCGGCGCGCGCCGCTTGATCAGGTAATTGAACAAGTAGCAGACCAGGGCCCAAACGGAGAAATTAAGCCCCGTCGCGGGCGGGATCCACCCCAGCGAGCCGAACAACACGGGCAAGTTGATCTTGCGGACTAGTGAGTCCTTGCGGTGGCGGGCGTAGACCCATAGCGGGATGGGTAAGACCGCGCCGACGGCGAAGGCCCAGATTAAGGGGCGGTACGTCGCGCCGGGGCCGAAGAACTCGCTGGGGCCGACGACGCCCCAGAGGGTGGAGCCGTTGAAGTGGACGCGGGCGATGGGGCAGGTGAAGCCGTTGATGGCCTGCGGTGTGCACAGGCCGGGGATGTTGGTGAACATCCAGTTGAGGACGGCGATTTGGGTGATGGAGGAGATGGTGGTGGCTACGACTTGGATGGTGAAGAGGATGCGCGGGGGGATTTTCATGTAGTGGCCGAGTTTGAGGTCGGCGGCGAATTTGATGCCTTGGGCCGAAGAGATGTAGCCGTAGGTGACGAAGACCATGTTGGCGACGGGCCGGCCGGGGAAGAGGATGCCGGCGATCAGTTGGCAGATGAGGTAGATGGAGGAATGTTGGTTGGTTACGGCCATGATGATGCCGATGGGGATGAAGAGGACGGCACAGATGCCGAGGGCGAGGATGAGGCCGTACCAGGGGAGATGAATGGGGTAGCTAAGTGGTTAGGTAGTCAGTACGTGCCGATTTCAGAATAGTGTTAGGTGAGGTTAGAGGTGGGATGGGTGTATGCTTACTACTCGACGACAAAAATGCCAATCGCCGTCATCGAGACAAATGTGAGCAAATACCACACCATCGGCGCATCCTTGTACCTCCGCATCAAGCGGTTGTGGACATCCTCGCGGCTCATCAAGTTGTCGGCGCTGACAGAAGCAGTGTTGTTGCCCGTTTGCCCGTGCCCATTCGTGGACCTCGCGGGCTCCGGCCCCGGGGCAGACACCGGCTGGTACGATCCCTTTTGCTCTTCCGAGGTTTCCTCCAGGGACCGTTTCCACTGCGTCCAAATGTCCTGTCCATGCCAACAGACGGTGTGTGTTATGAGCGCTGCCAGCCCGGCAAACTGCACGCCGTAGCTGAGAACGTACGTGATGGGCAGGAAGACACGACTGTACTGGGAGTAGGCTTCTCGGTCAAACATGAAGTTCTCGGTCAGGATCTTGCTCACGTCGTACACCTTGCCGGTGTTGTCGAACACGGCTGCCGATAGAATCGGCATGTACGATGAGTAGAGCCAGTTGCTGTAGTATGCAATGGGCGCCACGATCCACATGACCACCACCAAGCCGCCGACGACATTCATGGCTGCCCAGAATGGGGTAAGCAACGGCGAGCCAATGTAGGCGACCTGAGCCCAGTCAAATGTAAGGGGGAACAATCCCAATCCCGAAACCACGCCAAACAGGTTGGAGACGACAACATTGTTGGGCGCGAACCAAGTCACCACATTGAAAAAGCTCAGCGCAGGCATCAGAAGTCCCGGCAAAAAGTAAAAGAGAAATGCCCCCAACCAAACAGCATAGAAGAATTTCCACCTGCTAATCTTCCAGCCATCGGCTTCCTTGTTCTCCTCCTTGTGCAATGTTGTGAACATCGCTGCTGACATGAGCGTCCCAGGCCAAATCATGCCGCTTGGGCGCACCAAAAACCGCCTTGTAAGTCCGGCAAAGGTATACCCCAAAACCTGTGTGGAAATGGTGAGCAGCAGCTGGTACACGATACCAACTTCCTGCTTGTAAAATTGCGTCTGCTCAACAATGACGTCCGTTGCAAAGGCAAATCCGAATGAGACATTGCTGCTCACATAAACACAGCTGTGCTCTTTCTCGTTCCATCGGCCCTGCGCCAGCCATAGCCGCACCCGACCGAGGGTGCCTCTTCGTCCGGTAGAAAGGGAGTGGTCGCGGCAATCCGATGCGGGGGTCGAAGGGCTGTGGCTTCGAAATCCGTCGACAAAGTTTTCCGGCGGGTCGTCGGACCTTTTCAAAAGATAGTCCCATAAGAGACCAAGAGGGTGGACCATCAACAGTGCTATAACAGGGGTGATCGCAACACTTGGGTATCGGAGCGAAAAGAACAAATTTGTTGAGGATCCTAGAATGGAGAAGAGTATGGAAAGCGTCCACATCCGGGGGGTGTTTATCGAAAGGGTCGTGTTATCGGTCGGGGAGACAGAGGCCCGGACTTGCGCATAGGGCGAGTTGTCTGGCGGATCCTCATCGTCGTCTATGTCCGAGTCGCAGATGTAGGACTCCTCATCATCGTCCTCATTAACCTCTGGTTCCTTGTATAGGTTATTGAGGAGTGATGTCTCTGTGGTGCCGAACCGGCCTTCTAGGCCGCCAATGGTCGTCGAACCGACCAATTCCTCTGACTGTCTCGGCGTCCGTCGTGAACTCGGCGACCTGCGCTGGGAACCATCACGACGACGCCTCACCCCAGACCCTCCAAATGAGTTCCGGCTAGAGTTCGAGCTCTTCCGGGACTGGGGAAGTGAAACCGTGTTCTCTTCATCGGGAATCCCACCCGCTAGGGGTCGGGGTGTAACGGCGCCATATGAGGGGCTGCTGAAGCCCGCGGCTGAGCGCAAGGGCGGGAGGTTCTTGCTCATAGGGTCAGGTTCCCGATCAATGTCGGTCTGGTCAGCCGGTGGCACTGTCGCCTCGGGCCCGTGGCCATGGGAGTCAGAGCCTTGACGCCCGACCTGATCGTGTGGCGGGAGTAGAATCTCCCCGACCTTCCACTCGTTCCGCTCTCTGATGTCGGGAGAGTGGGGGTTAGGAGGACTCTGAGGGGCGGCAATCGCTGGGACAAGTTGTTCCGACGTGGGGCGATTTGCGGGTGCGGGTGCGGGTCCGGAGCTCAGGGATTGTAGTGGAATCGTCAGGCCCGACTCAAGTTGTCGGCCACGATGCTTTTTAATAGCGAAGGTGGCTCGTGAAGGCGCCATTGAGCGCCTTCCCCTCCTGGAAAAAGCTCGACGGTGCAGGTAGAGGCGCTCAGGAATTGGGCTAATGTGCGGGATCTCATGGGTCCGTGTGTGACGCGGAAGTCACAAGCTGAAGGTTTTAAAAGTTATCGGCCAACCAGGACATCGATGGTTGAGGTTACGGACACGGAATTCCAAGACAGCATCGGAGACAGAGGAGGACAAAGATGATCTTATTGGTTATGGCCCAACAATACTACACAACTAGTGCAGATTATTGGTGGTGTTTTTCCTTATCGTAGTGTAGTGTACACTTGAACTTCAAAATTGGATGTCATTCTAAGTTCATTAACAAGCTGAGATGCAGATGCGGGATGCTCTCATGCTGTCACCGACCCTCTGGGTCAGGCCCACATGCCCCACACCACCCTTGTCGCCTCCAATCGACGACACGACAGTCCGTTCGCAGGAGGTCCAGTTCCTGATGGACCAGATATTCACTTGACAAACACACCAAAACACAAAGCCATCTATCTCGTTGTGTCAAATTGGTTTATAGATCAAACCCTTCGGCGCATTGAAACCCTAACACTCAACAGCCCCGGGTGCCAAAGGCAAAACGCAGGCTGACGACATTCCCTTGATTGCCCGATTGGGATTCGGCACTCCGCGCCCACTTTCCCGCAGCGCCGATTTCTTGACTTCTTGCAGGGGTCAGTCAAGCGAGAGGAATCGGAAATCCTCCGACTCAGAGTTACTCCGCACAGCAGTCACTCGAGTTCCAACTTTGAACGCACCAGCATCGCATCCCGCCTCATGTCTGATCTCGCAGCAGAAGAGGACACAATGGGCGCGCTCCAGGTGGCAAAACGGCACCTCCGGGCCACCATGAAAGACAAGCTCAAAGCTATACCTCAGGAATCCATCATGACGCAGAGTATGGCAAACCGCGCAATATCTCACATGAAGCGGCGCTAAACGCACTTGCATCAGGCTCGACGGTGTTCGACACGCTTAGGTCACAGAGTGCCTACGTGAATGCTAAAAGGGTCAGCATCTTCTTGTCCATGCCCACGGGCGAGATCCAAACGGATGCCATTGTCCGGGACGCGCTGAAGGCGGGCAAGGAGGTGTTCATCCCCTATCTTCACAAGAACATGGTCCAGGCGCCCGGCCTACCAGCCCGGGTGATGGACATGGTCCGCTTGAAAGACCTTGCCGACTACGAAGCTCTCGAGCTAGACAAATGGGGCATCCCGAGCGTCGACCCCAACACTGTCGCAGAGCGGCGGCGTGTGTTCGGTGGACCAGACGCCCCGCACTCGGACAGCACGCTGCTCGATCTTGTCCTTATGCCTGGGGTCGCTTTCGATACCCACCCCGATGACGGGGTCATCAGGCGTCTCGGCCATGGGAAGGGCTTTTATGATTATTTTCTTTTTCGGCATGGGCTCAAAGCGGGCTCGCTTGGGCAGCAGGATTCTCCTGTATTGCTTCTCGGCTTAGCTCTTTCCGAGCAGTTCCTATCTCCATCTGAAGGGGAGGTACCTGTTGGACCCCTGGATAAACCTCTGGACGGCCTGATCCTCGGGAATGGCGACGTCCAGGGCCCGCTTGCTCCTGCAAATAACACAGATTGATCCAACACCATAGTTCCCATGCGCCTATTCCACTGTTCTCCACCCCCTGGTATCCCTTTCCGTAGTTTTTTTGTCCTATTCGAGGCGTTCTGGAAATCGAAGAATCATATTAAGTTTCCGCCGTACGTAAAAACTCGTTCGTTGGGTTCATCCGGACACGCTTTGAATGAGAGAAACGTTGTCGCCCTTCAGTAGAATTTGCTACACCCATCACGTCAGCTATTGTCCCTCGCATAATCCGCATTTTGACATACCCCCAATGGTCGCCTTGTCTCGGTATCGTTTGTCTTGGAAATCTGTTTGACCTCAACCGCGTCGTCGATCTAGGAAACCAAGTCAGACGAAATTTAGTCCCTTCGTTTCTCGTAGTATCACTCACAACAAGATTCATAAACTCATCGAACCCCTATGACTCGTCAGTAGTTGACTCTCTCTGGGAGTGAACGGATAACCTACCCGAATAGTTCCAACTATCCGAATCGATAACTGCTCGTACAGCCAAATCTGGACCGTCGTGCGCTGTTGCAGGAGACGGAAGAGAAAGTTGATTGGGGGCAAAAGAACACGGCGACCGCCGCCACCACCTCTTCCAGTCATTGCGGAGTGTCTTGGGGGGTTGGAGATTAGAACGGAGGTGATTATGCGCGGTTCGTGACGTGTCGCGGTGGGCGTGCCGTGAAATCTAGAATTTGGCGGAGCTCGACGTCGCAGCTTGCGGATTGGAGCCCCAGGCTTGTCCAACGAGCCAAGCAGTTAGTTCATTTTCGGTATGATGATGGTCCGTGCACTGCCCCTCCTTTTCCAACAGAAAGCCAGAGCGCGATTCCTCCAACAAGTGGGGCAATTTTCAGAGCTGTTAGCCTTGAGGCAGCCTGACGCCGCTGTTTTATGCTGCAAGACAGGGACTCGGCCAAACATCGTCAGGATCCGTGCCTCGCCAGATCACTTGCCAACTCCCTCCCTCCCACCTCGACAGTCGGTTTCTGCGTTGCACTCTTTTCCCGACGACAGAGAGACCAGTCTCACCGCCAGTGCCTCATTCCCCGCGCCCATTCTTGAGCTTCGCCATTCCAAGTCGTCGTAGTTGCTCCCGGAGGATACAAAGCAAGGAGGGAGGGGCAGATCCAGATTTGCGTTCATTCGGCTTGCGGGGGACGATCGCATCCACCACCGAGCTTCGAGATTCCACCACAATACCGGTCGATAACTATCGACAAACTTGCGTCTCATCAAAATGGCGTCCAATGGACCCCAGGATACTTTTGCGGCGCCCAACGTGCTGGCAGCTATGCTGACCATGCGGACCGGGGATAATGACAAGAAGAAGGTCGCCGTTGACTATCTTGGAAAGTTTCAGAAATCGGTCCGTTGGTACTGTCTTCACTGGCTTTGGAGGATGCGCTGACCGTTACTCGACAGAACGACGCTTGGACGACCACGATATTGATCCTTCAGACCTCGACCGAAGCCGAAGCGCAGCTCTTCGCCGCGACGACCCTAAAGGGCAAGGTACATACATACATATGTGCAAGGCAAAAGCGTTAGATGGAGGGGACAAGCGCTAACTATGCCAGATTACATATGATTTGGGGACCCAAATCTCTGAGGCGGACCTGCCAGCGTTGCGCAGCCAAATTTTGTTGCTGCTGAAGAAGTTCGCGCCGGGCCCGAAGCCCGTCCGAGTCCAGCTGTGTGTATGCCTGGCGATCCTGGCTATCCAGATGCAAACATGGAAGGACGTCCTGCCCACCGTTGTCTCGACCCTGGGGAACGACGTCGAAAGCCACGCCTGCATCCTGGATTTCCTACGCGTGCTCCCAGAGGAGGTCACAGAAGGCCGAAAAATCACCTTGTCTGTATGTGGAACGATATGTTGCGACTCGCCTCTACCACTTCGGCAGCTCCGTCGCGCGGCTCGGCCAACGATCACTGTCTAATCCAGTCATGATAGGAAGAAGATCTCACCCAGAGGACATCGGAGCTTCTGGGGGACAATGCCCAGCAGGTTGTACAACTGCTCACCAACTATGCGCAGTCATCCCGTAAGTAACAACTGCCACCACTTGACTCATGTGCCAGGGTTTATTCTCACACACACCTCAGCCGCCGCCGCGACAAATCCCCAGTTGTTTGACTGCATCAGTTCCTGGCTTCGGGAGGTGCCCGTCAGCGTCATTGTCAATTCCCCGTTGATGGATGCGGTCCTTCACGGGGTGACCGACGACAAGTCCCTCTTGGCTGCGGCGGACTGTCTGGGGATTATCTGCAGGGAAACCAAAGACGTGGACGACAACCTGGAGACGATTCAAGCTCTGCTGCCCAAGGTACTGCAACTGCGCCCTCGTATCCAAGCCTTGGTGGACGATGACGACTCCGAGGGGTTCAAGGCCATCACTAGGGTATTCGCAGATGCCGGCGAGTCATGGGTTCTGATTATCGCTCGGCAACCCCAGCATTTCCGGCCCTTGGTTGAATGTTTGCTAGAGTGTTGCGCCAGGGACAAAGAGAAGGATGTCATAGGTTACACCTTCTCCTTCTGGTATGAGCTGAAGCAGTACTTAACGCTAGACCACTACATGGAGGCCCGAGTCCAGCTCCTCGATGTCTACGCCCAGCTTGTCGACATCATGCTCAAGCAGCTCGAGTACCCATTCTCCGACAACCCGAACGAACTCGATCTCTTTGATGGCGATAGGGAGCAGGAAGAGAAGTTCCGCGAGTTCAGGCACCACATGGGCGACACTCTCAAGGATAGCTGCGAGGTTATGGGTGTCGCCGCGTGTCTGACCAAAGTACACGACGCCATCAAGGTATGGCAGGAAAAGTATGGGAATCAAGCGACACCGACGTCTGTACCGCACTGGCAATCTCTCGAGGCTCCCCTCTTTGCAATGCGGGCTATGGGCCGGATGGTGGAATCGAACGACAGCAGCGTGCTGCCCCAAATCTTCCCACTTCTCGTCCAAATCCCCATCAGCAATGAGAAGCTACGGTTTGCTGCGATCATGGTGTTCGGACGCTACACTGAGTGGACCGCAGCCCACCCAGAGTTTCTTGAGCCCCAGTTCCAGTATATTGTTTCCAGCTTCCAAGCCGACTCCCAGGAGATCCTCCGCGCCGCTGCCCAAGCATTCATGTACTTTTGCGTGGACTGCAAGCATCTCCTTGGGTCACAAGTTGTTCAGCTTCAAGCCTTCTACGACCAGATCCTGGACAAGCTCCCGGTCTCGAGCAAAGAGGAAGTTACGGAAGGCGTTGCTTACGTTGTTGGTGTCCAGAAGACGGAAGACATGCTCAAGCTTCTCAAGCTCTACTGTGATCCCTTGGTGCGGCGGCTGATGGCCAAGGCCGATATCGCCACAGAGAACAAGGCAAAGCTTGATCTCGCCGGTAAGTGCGATGTCAATGTTTTCGCTTCGGCCATGGGCTAACACGATTCTGGTAGATCACATTAATCTTCTCACTTTCTTCGTTCAGCATGTTGTTCCATACATCCCCAGCAACGAGGAGAACCCGGCAGTTGAGTACTGGCAGAGTGTCTTCCCCATTCTGTCGAGGATCCTCGACGAGTTTATCAACTTCGCCCCGATCTGTGAGAGGGTCTGTCGCTCTTGGAGATTTTTGGTCATTTCCTACCGGACTGCTATCACGCCTCTCTTAGGCCCCCTCGCAAACAAGTTGGCTGAAGGCTTCGCCAAATCCAAACAGGGCTGTTTCCTCTGGGCTACGAGTGCCATCCTACGGGAGTTCTCCGAGGATAGGGAACACGTTGAAGAAGGCATTACTGACAACATCTACGTTTTCTTCGAAGCACAGGCGACAAGCGTGCTCCGTATCATGAGTGATCTCCCGCCGGTCGACCTCCCCGACGTCATTGAGGATTTCTACCGTCTCCTCATCGATGCGCTACTCTACTACCCCGCCAAACTCATCCCCTCCCCCCTTTTCACCCCCATATTCCAAGCCGCCATCTCCTCTCTAGCCCTCGAAAAACAGGAACCAGTCTCCGCTGCGCTGCACTACCTTCGCGACCTTCTCACATACGGCGGTACCAACCCAGCCGCCTCCGGCACTGACCTCGGCCCCGCCGGCCAGCAACTCCGTCAAATTGTCAAGCAGCTCCTCCTGACGCAGGGCGAAGCCCTCGTCAAGCAAACCCTCGCCGGCATGATGATCACCTTTCCCCGAGACTGCTTCGCCGACGGCAGTGGCGTGCTCCTCGGCATGTTTGAGCTGCTTCCGATCGAGACAGCCCAGTGGGTTGACCGAACTGTCCGCATGCTCCCGCAAGGCACCATCACACCGGCCGAAGCCGACCGCCTCCTCGCCAAGATCCGCGAGAAACTGCAAGGCACAGACCCGGCGCATGTTCGTCAGATCCGGGTACTTCTGCAGGACTTTACGAATACCTACCGCCGACGATATGTTGCACCGCGCGATGGGTTGGGTGAGCTGGAGGCTGCGCGTTTCCACTTTTCGGGATAGGTTTCCGACGGGCATGGAGCATGTGAACCTTCGTACTAGTGCTCATGTTGCAACCGCCGCATGAGGATGTGATGTGGGGTGTCAAGCGAAGTTTTGTGCGGCCGTTTAGTGTGGAAGAATCTAGGAGGGTACCGAGCAGCGGGCAGGGAAGGAAGTAAGGTATAAAGGGGAACAAGAGGAGGTCCGGTAGGGCCCACAGGTGGACGACTACGGGCGGGAAAGAATTTGAAAAATCCGGTTATACCACAGCTGGCGATGGGGAGGATGATGGACAGCAGGACTAGACGATCTGGAATGAAATGGACTGAGTGAAACGCCGTCAATGAAGGAAGGAACCGGAAGTGTTTTGCGCCCCGACAATTGGGCGCTTTGACCTTGCTTTGATCACCATAAAAGCAATGGAATGTAGAGATATTCATGTATGTACGCAGGTAGAATAATAGCCATGGTGGATTGACAGGATGGGTTGACCGGTGTGATAGTTCGGAATTGTAGGCGGAGGGCATTGTCGAGAAGTAAAGAATCTAAGCCCCAAGACTTAGACATGAAAGAGGGCAGTAGCGGTGTATATATGATACGAATACCGGGATTTACGTTGCATGAATTCTTAAAAGCCACATCTTTGAGGGATACAGAAAGGAATTAAGGAAAAAAACAAGGAAAAATGAAAAAGAAAGGGGGCGTCCGCCCCTTTATTCACGATGGGTTTAAGATGACTCTATGCTCGAGTCTCTCAATAAGTGTGAAAAGCCATGCCCACCTCCCCGTCTGCATTACTACCCCGGTGGTGTTTGAGCCACATGATATCAAATGTTCCCAGCACAGTGCCACATGATCTCTTAAAAATGCCCTCCTCCTAGAATCGCATAACAGGATAAAATAAAGTAATATGTGAAGCCACACTCCTAGCGTCATACCCCTATAGGGGCGAGAACAAGGACCAACAGGAGGATGTTGTTCGGTCCTACATCCTTACTGGGTCGCCGGCTGGGTGTTGGGCGTCTGCTGCGGACGAGGGTCGGCTGTGGTGTCGGATTTAGCCTTGGGGCCAGCGTAAACGTCCGGCTTGTTGGAAATCACGGTAGCTCTTGCAGCTGCGAAGCGGGTATAACACTCGCCGAGTACGTCTTCAACTTTCATGTGAGCCTCAACGACACCGGTGTCTAAGAGTTCCTACGGCATAGATGTTAGCTTCTGGTGATGGCAACAGGGTAGGACAATGTTAATTCTTACTCTGATGTAGTCCTCAACTTCAACAAATTGCGCCTTGTCCATTCTGTATCGGTCTGGGAGCCCGCTGTTGTGTAGGAGGGCAATCAAACCAGCGCCCACCGTATTTACAGCTGCTAGAGCCGTAATCGGCGTGGATTCACGCTTCGGGGTTGAGCCGAGCGCAGTAAGAACCGCACCCAGCATGACCTGGAGGATCATGAGATGCCAGTGGACCACACTGAGAGTCCCGAAAGCGAAGGAGTACTTCGTCCGCTGTTTGACCACATCCTTGTACAGACCGTCGGGTAGGCCCTTCGGGGGGTAGTACCAGCAAGTGGGGTGAACAACTTGATGTTCCTCTCCCTCCCGGATAGCACCAATTCCATGGGCGATCCGAGCCCACTCTGTTGGGGTGAGGAAGCGGTGCTGGACGGATGAGCCGCCCTGGGAGACCGGATCACTGGTGATTGGTTTCGACATGGACGGAGACGGGTTCTCAGTGTTGGGTTGGAAAGAGCCCTCAGGATTTGCCGTCGGAGCGGGGATGCTGGACCTTCTCACGGAATTGTAAACGCTACCGGTGGACTCCGAGGGGTGGCCGTCATGGTTAGGAGGTAGGTCCTGCTGAACCGGGCTCTTGTTGTTTGACGACATCGTCCAAGTATCGACTTATGGTGAGAGTAAATTAACAGACACTCGATAACGACAATACAACAAGAATGTGTCTTCTGGACAGAGCGCAAAACAGGAAGCGGCTTTGTGACGATCGGCGGAGAAGTTCAGTTCCAGTTCAAGGGGTTCCTTTAGACACATGTAGAAAAGGGAGGAGGATAAACGTCTACTACACATAGAAATTGACTCTTCCCCCGAAAAAACAAGTGAACTGGGTGTGGCAAGTCCATTGAGCGCATCGCACCTTCCCATGCCCGAGTCAATGGGCCATGAAGGGGTCCCAATCGCGCATCGCAATGGGACAAGTCTAACTCATAATCTCATACTTCCCATTGTGTTTAGGTATAATTGACCGGTAAAATACTTAAAACAGAATAGAAGTAGCAGTGGATTGGAAATTACACCGATTCAAGTGCCGTGATTCTTCGCGTGGGCAATGTCCCAAAAGGGAAGTCACTTATAACTCAAGCTTCTCACCGCCTGGCAGAATACCAAAATTTAAGGTAGTGGATTCGCTTCAGCGACGAGATCTCTGACGCAGCCGCGAATTGAGTCAAACCGTCAAACCTCGCCTGCATGCGCATAGGTTCACTCGCGACTGCCTTCTGGTGTGTTGCCAGACACTCGAGGAAATCTAATTGGCCAAGACTCTGGCGCGGCTCAATTGCTCATATTCGCACTATGTCCGATACCGTCCACGACCTCAGCACGGCCCCGGCCGAGGGGCAACGCATCACACACAATAATGTGGTTTACACAACGATTAAGGAGGGGCTCGCCTACATTTTAGTCCCCGAGGACTCGGCGAAGGATGGGCAGACGGCCCAGCAAGTGTTTTACAATCCGATTCAGCAGTTCAACCGCGACTTGACCATCCTGGCTATGAATGCCTACGGAAAAGACCGTATCGAACAGAAGCAAACCGCTAGCATAGCCCGCGCTGGGAAAATCGAAAAGAAGAGGAAACGACGGGGACCGGCACAGAACGAGCAACCACAGCCCGAGCGGCCCACCAAGTCTGCAAAACTTGACGATGGCACCCAATCCGCCGACGTCCAAGCCGATGCTGCAAAACCTGATGTGCCAGAGGAACAGGAACCAGAGACCGCCGCCGAGGGAGAAAATCATCCGGAAGGCACTGATGGGGCCAGACCGGATGCTGAGGCTGCAACCGAAATTCATGCCGAGGCAGACACAGAAGTATTAGTGAGCGATGGTGCGGCAGCGAAGAACGAGCCGAAAACGAGTTTCACGATTCTAGATGCCTTGTCAGCCAGTGGCCTACGTGCCCTGCGCTACGCCCACGAAATACCATTCGCCTCAAGCATCACAGCCAACGATATTCTCAAGACCGCTGCCCAAGCGATCGAACGCAACGCCATCCATAACCGAGTCCCTGACAAAATCAAAGTCTCAGTCGATGACGCCACGGCGCATATGTACGATGTCCTTGTGAAAGACCTTCGCCGGACAACTCTGGGGAGGAATAAAACTGGCCCAAGCGAGAAATACGACATCATCGATCTTGACCCATACGGGAGCGCTGCCCCATTCTTGGACGCCGCTGTTCAGGCAGTGCGCGATGATGGTGGACTCCTCTGTGTGACTTGCACGGATTCAGGGATTTGGGCGTCCAACGGGTACCCAGAGAAGTGCTACTCCTTATACGGTGGAATCCCGATCAAAGGCTGGTACTCTCACGAGGTGGGAATCCGGCTCATTTTACACGCGATCGAAACCTCAGCTGGAAGGTACGGACTTGCCATGGAACCATTGCTGTCTTTGTCAGTGGACTTTTACAGCAGGGTTTTCGTTCGGCTTTGGAAGTCCCCATCCATGGTCAAGTTCCAAGGTGGGAAGAACATGATCGTCTACAGCTGCGGCATGGGCTGCGGGGCCTGGACAACTCAATTTCTGATGAAGAACAAGGAAGCACCAAACAAGAAGGGTGATGGAACGTTCTTCAAGCATGGCTTCACCAGGGCCCCGACTGCAGGCACGTCTTGTGAGCATTGCGGGTCGGTGATGCATCTCGCTGGTCCGATGTACGCCGGGCGCATCCACTCGCCTGAATTCGTCAAGAAGGTGATCTCCGAAGCGGAAGCTGCCTCTCCAGAGGTGTACGGTACGAGGGAAAGAATTAGGGGTATGCTCCAGACGGCACTGGAAGAATTTATCCCGTCCCGAGAAGAAATGGAAGCTGAATCGAAGGAGGCCGGTGACCAATCCAAGAAGATCAAAAAGACCTTTACGGAAGCCCAAGTCGCCGCCGTCGATCCGTATCCGTTTTACTTCCATCCAGCGCACGTATCAGGGACCTTACATTGCGCCAGCCCTCCTGAAAACGCACTGAGGGGTGCCTTGATTGGACTCGGGTACCGGGTTACGCGGAGTCACTGCAAACCTGGAAGCATGAAGACAGACGCGCCATGGTCCATCATCTGGCATGTATTCCGGGAATGGGTTCGCCAGAAGGCGCCGGTGAAAGAGGAGAACATCAAGCCCGGCAGTGTCGCTTATAGACTGCTAGGCTTGGGCAAGAAGGCTGAAGAGGCTGCGCCAGAAACCCAGAACGGCGGCGAGGGCAGCAACATCACCGAGGCCCAGGGAGCCACCAAGGAAGCCTCAGAGTGTCTGAAGGACGGGCACGAGACCTTGAAGGAAGTGGTATTTGACGAGCAGCTCGGGCGACACCAGGAGCGGAAGAAGTACGTGCGGTACCAGATGAATCCTCGGGAGAACTGGGGTCCGATGAATCGGGCCAAGGGGAAGTGATGGGAAAGGCCAGTCTCTGGTATTTGTGCAATTGAATCGGCGGCAACGAAGCCGGGAGGTCCGGTAATTCCGAGTCCGAGGGGGGGCCGGAGGGGGATCCGAAGGTTTCAGAAGAGGTGTGCGGTGTGGAAGGTTTGAAGGTCCACCCACCTTGTTGAGCACCCACTGCCCACTCAAGATGCCGCTGCCGCGGCCCACTTCTAATAGGCTCACCCACTGTGCTAATGAGGGATCTTGGGGAACCCCCGCCTCTGATAACGCAATTCTGTCCAGAGAAAAGCACACCAGTAACCCCATTTGACTCAGCCTGTGCCGCCGCCGAGGCCCGCGATCACTCCATCCGCTGCAGGTCTCTTCCTGCTGGATTAGAAATCCAGACTCATTAAAAACATTCAAAACAATATAAACATACTCAGAATTATCCCCACTCCTTTCGCTCGTGTTTGCCCTCTGAGGTTCTGTTGCTCTATTCTGTCTTTGGCCCACTCTCAGGGACATTTAACTCACTTCCACCACTCTAAAAGCGCAACCTCCATTCACTCCCCCAATATTTTTCGATGACGGCCCAACAGCAGCCGCGGGAAGAGGCCGGCGATACGGGCAAGGCAGTTGAGATCGAGCTTCAGCAAATCGTCTACATTCTTCCTGGGGCTCACGGTGGATATTCGGTCTATTTAGTTTCCGAGGGATCAACATCGGACGGGGAGCGACCTTTCAGTCTTCGGGTTGCGCAGGGACAGGAGCATGAACTTCCGGATGGCTTCCAAAAGTTCATCCTAGAGCGGGGCAACCTCCCCCCACAGCATCTAAGAGCCCCGCGGGAATTAAACGTCGTGGTATCGACTCACTCCGGCCTTCGGCTCGCCGAGAGTTTCTACCAGGAGGTACTGCAACCCCTTTTAGGGGCCGTTGGGCTAGCACCCCACAAGGACGAGGGGAGAAATGATGGATACAAGGTAGTCGTAACCAAGAACCAGCACACCCTCCGGGACTTCTCGCGAGCACTCGGCAAGGACCCCAAAGTCAGCGACAAGACCGTGGTTCTCCTCTCGGGTGACGGCGGCGTAGTCGATCTCCTCAACGGCCTAGATCACTCGAGCGCCCCTTCGGCTCCCACCATTGCTTTACTCCCACTCGGAACGGGCAACGCACTCTTTCACTCTCTCCATAAACCGCACTACTCGGCCACTCCGTCCGCCCCATCCCATTTCGTCCTCGCTCTACGTAGCCTCTTCCTCGGCACGACATCCCCTCTCCCCGTGTTCCGCGCTTCGTTCTCTCAAGGCGCAACGCTAGTTTCCGCGCCGGTCGAGCATGACGCGCCCGTGGACGCTACCACCGCCGAGGCACCGAAAGACCACGAAAAAGAGACGCCCGTCACCCACCTCCTCGGCGCGATTGTAGCTTCCTACGGGTTTCACGCCAGCCTTGTGTGGGAAAGCGATACGCCGGCGTATCGTGTGCATGGAGCCAAGCGATTCGGTATGGCCGCGGCGGAACTACTGAAAGTGGAACATGCATATGATGCGGCAGTTGAGGTTAGGAGAACATCTGATGAGGCGAGCTTTGTCCCTGTCGCTGTCCGCGGGAAGAAACAGGACGAGCAAAGCGGGTCGCAGAGCAACGGCTTCAACTACGTCCTCGCGACGCTCGTTTCGAACCTCGAGAAGACATTTACCATCTCTCCGGCTAGCCGGCCGCTTGATGGGCAGCTGCGACTGGTTCACTTTGGCGACGTCGGCGGGGCGCGTACGATGGAGATCATGACGGCTGCGTATGCTGAGGGGGACCATGTGAAACTCGAGGATGTTGGGTATGAAGCGGTGGAGGAAGTGAAGGTGACGGTTAATGAGGAGGATCCGAGGTGGCGGAAGGTGTGTATTGATGGGAGTATTGTTGAGTTGGAGAAGGGCGGGTGGATGAGCGTGGCTAAGGAGGGGAGGGAACGATTGAGGGTGTTGATTGATGTTTGATGATGGATTTGTTATGTATGGTTGGGCAGCGAGCGTGTTTTGCAAGTACAAGCGGCCAGCTTCATTTACAAGATGATTTTACGGCGTCGATACGGCCGTGCTTTAGATCAACAATACCAAACTATCAACTAACCGTTCAGCAACTTCTTCACCCGCTTCTCCATCCCTTCTTCGAACTGGTCCACCCCCCTCTCCAAGACTGTCAACTTCCCCGCTGCTAACTTAAACACCGTCCTTCTCCGCAACGCTTCTTCCCCACTTTCCTCGTCACTCTCCTCCTCCTCATCCCCTTCTTCCTCATCCACAACACCCTCCACAACCCCTCTCATAAACCACCGGTCGTGAGACACCAACACCACCGCCCCTTTCCACGCCCTCAACGCCTCCCGCAGCGCGGCCACCGTCTCATAATCCAAATGCGTGGTCACCTCATCCAACACCAGCAGCCCCGGCCGCCGCCACAACAACCGCGCCAGCTCACACCGCACCAGCTGGCCACCGGATAACTTGCGCAGCGGCACTTCGGACGCGAGCCGGCCCGGCAGGCCGAGCGAGCCAAGCAAGCCGCGCAGCTCGCCCTCGTTGAGGGCGCCGTCGACTTCGGCGGTGAGGAGCGCGAGCGCGGTCAGCGCCGGGTCGGCGTGGCCGAGGGTTTGGAGAGCTTCGACGGCGTGTTGGGAGTAGTAGGACATTTTCAGGCGGGGGTGGGCGGTTATCGTGCCTGTGAGTTGGGACCGGGCTGGGGGTGGAGTGGACGGGTCGTTGACGAGGAGGCGGATGAGGGTTGATTTGCCGGCGCCGTTGAGTCCGAGAATGCCGACGCGGTCGCCCTCGCTGATGGTGAGGGTGATGTTTTGGAGTGTGGGGTTGGGTTTGGTGGTGGAGCCTTTGGGAGGGGGGTAGCGGAAGGTGACTTTCTCGAGGGAGAGGAGGGCGCCGGGAAAGCGCAGGTCGGGCGGGTCGGGCAGGGACAGAGAGACGCCACGCTCGTCTTGGGGGATGGCGATTTCGGCGCGGGCGGAAAAGTGATAGCCGGCTAGATCGCGATTGAGCTTGAAACGGCCGCCCTTCTCGTTGACTTGCATGCCCATGCGATCCTCGAGGCGTTTCTGGCGGGACTTGGCCTGGCGGACTTTGTTCTGGTCGTCGTTCTTGCGGCCCTGGACGAGGTTCTGGCGGATGGACTCTTGCATGTGCGCCTTTTGCTTGTCCTGAGCTTCCTTCATCTTGGTGAGGTGCTGTTTCTTTTCGGCCCGGGCAGACTCGTAGGTTGGTAGATCGCCGTGGAAGTACGTCAGGTCTTTGTCCTTGAGAATGAGCAGGTCAGTGCACACGGAGCCGGCAAAGTCGCGATCGTGAGAGACGAGTATGAGGGTTGGGGGGGTAGGGAGGTCCTCGATGCTCTGGAGGAAACGCTGCAGCCAGATAATGCCCAGGAGGTCGAGAAAGTTGGTGGGCTCGTCGAGGATGAGAATGTCAGTTTCCTGTAAGAGTGCGGTAGCAAGAGCACTCCGCATGCGCCAGCCACCTGAAAGGCTATCGGCCTTTTTCGTCATGTAGGCTTCAGTAAACCCCAGACCAGTCAAGATCTTCTTAGCCCGCGACTCAATGTCGGCTAGGCGAGAGGGCTCAACTTGGATTTGGAGGTCAGCAAGCATATCGATCGCTTCTTGTGTCTCTGCTGCGAGAGTTTCAGGCGAGATTTCATCAGCTGTTTGTTCATTTCTGTCGAGGCATGTCAGCTTTCGTTGACACTCATGGATGGCCAGGAGCATCCTACAATGCGGCAGACTGGGCAATGGCCTTCTCGTACTCGACGAGGGCCTTGCGTGCCTGTAACCCTCTCGCGCCACTCCGCAACCTTGCATCCTTATCGAGAACAAACAGCCGCTTTTCCATACGCCCATGGCGAAGTTTACGCAGTGATCGAAGGGCACCGTACGGGTCATTGCCGTTTACCCCCGCGGAGAGTGCTGTGAAAACGTTAGTCTCTAGCCAGCTTCGTTCTTAAGGGCACGTGGTCACGCACAGTTGATCTCCTGCTCGAGATCACTCTTCGCCGTGGCTTTGTCTACCACATCCTCGAGCACGGTGGGCCCATCGCCTTCTGCGGGCAGCGATGCGGCCGGGACCGTATCTGTATTTGCGTCGCTCAGATTGGTTTGTTGTAGAATAGACACCCGAGTCTGCTCCGGGATGCCAGGAATGAGTTTCTCGGCGATCGCCCGTAAGAGTGCTTGAGCCAATTGTTAGCTACTCGTTACGGGAGAAACAAGTCGCACCCTATGTCACACTATCTCGTTCCAACGTGCTGGCTTACTTGACTTTCCTGAGCCATTCCTCCCCACCAGGGCGTATCGGCTCCCCGCTTTTAACCGCAGCTTTGCATTGTTCAATATCTCCGTTCCTTCGGCCGCGGCTTTCCCTTTGCCTTTGCCTTTCGGCTTGTCCCCGGTACTAGACGTAACTGTGATATTGAGACCCTCAATGTCTAGCTCGCGGTAATTAGGGCTTTCAATATGGAACCGGGTCTGTTTGCACGACACCAGGATGGTCGAAACGGACTCGGCGGCGATAGATGTCATGACGGTTGTAGCATAGACGAGTTCCAGTGATTTGGGTGGTTAAATTTTGCGAATTGTTGGGGCAAAAATTGAAATTCGAGAACTGAGGGGAAACGGGGAAACGAGGACTTGACAATATAGGTGCCGCACTGTAGCAAAGCATGCCCCTGACCTGTCCTGCCCAAAATCAACGACAGCACTGGAGTCTCCCTTCGCCCCCATTATTCGCTAAGTTATAGCACCCATTCGCGAAAGACAGCTGCGGTAAAATAAACGGCCGGTGATTGGTCTCATCAGAAAGCTGGAAACACCGCTCACCCACTCTCGTTTTTCTTCCCAAATGCGGCAACTGCTTCCTTGCTTTCCGGCCATGAGTCACGCCGGGTTGCCGGGCCCTAGCCCCACATTTCAGCCCGAGATTTGGGTCCGGTCAGCCCGGTCAACACGGCGAAGACCGAGACTTGCCGGGCGATCCTCCGGAGAGTGGTTTTCATGACAGTGTTCGCGTTTCCTCTGTGTTTTTATTTTGCCAAGGAGTTACGCTTTTACCATTCTCAAACCCACTGCGATGAGGATAAGTCAAATACTCACACAGGGACTAGGAGCAAAATCAGGGGGTTTACATTATGGTACGAAGACGACGCCATTTATTGAGAATGGACGAAGAAGCTGCGGCTAAAGTATTTTTAAGTCAAACCGTAAGAAATATGCACGACAGTGCGGGACAACACACACATTCACCTCCCACCAAACGCCAAGCTTGCCTCGCCCCAAACTCATCCCAAACTAGTACATAGGAAAAACTTCAACATTTCGGGCATCTGGCCTATACCATCCCAATCTCCTCTGTTACCTCTCCCGGTTTCCAATTCGAATCCGGCGTCCCGTCCCTCACCCTACCCATCTGCGCCGCAAACGTGCTCGTCGGCTTCCACCGGCCCGACTCGCGAGGCGTTGACTCCTCCATCATGATGTCAATCTGCTCCAACGTGAGCCCTTTCGTCTCAGGCACCAGGAAATACGCAAACACAAGTGACAGAATGCACAGCGACCCCCAAATGAAAAACACCCGCGGGCCTAAGTCCGCCGATCCAGGCTCGTGGCCCACCATATACGGCGCAATCACCGCAATAATACAGTTCCAGAACCAATTCGCCGCCGTCGAGATGCCCACGCCACGCGACCGGATCGGCAGCGGGAAACACTCGCCCACCAACACCCACCCGACGGGTCCCCAGCTCGATGCGAAGAAGAAGATGTAGATGCAAATGAACGCGATCATGGCCTTGGTGGCGGATTCGTTGTGGGGGACATCGGGTCGGCCGGCGGTAACGCCGACGATGGCAACGATCAGCTGGGAGACGCTCATCCCAGCCGCGCCCCAGTTGAGAAGGGGACGCCGACCGATGTATTCGATGGCCCAGAAGGAGAAGGGAGTGGAGACCACGTTAACGAGAGTGGTGACGAGAGAAACCCAAAAGGGGTTGTTGTTCGTGTCGAGCCGCTGGAAAAAGGTGGTGCCAAAGTAGAAGATGAAGTTGACTCCTGCACTCTGTGTTAGACCATAATCTTGGGAGCCCCGGGGCTAAAAATCTGAAGAAAAAAAGGGGTGTCGTCGGAGACATACCTGTGAGTTGTTGCATCATCTGCACTCCAGAGGCGAGGATTGTACGCCGCAAGTTGCTGTTCCCCTTTGACAGACTCCCTTGAAAGCAGGCCATCCATGATCCGATGTAGCTCGTTTGCGGGATCACCTGCATTTCATACTCGTGGTTGGCCACAATTTCAGCGAGTTCGTCCTTGATGTACTCGGAATCTATCGACTGGCCGCGAACAAGCGACAGGTCATATGCGGCAGCGTTGATCATCCCCTTCATAACATGAAAACGCGGAGATTCCGCTAGTGAAAAGGTCAGTCCTTGACTTCACGTTCTAAGGGTAAGGGGCCAAACGAGGCACTCACGGAGAATGAACAATCCAACCCCCAATATGATCGCCCACAAAAATTGCACACCCACTGGGATGCGGTACGAGCCGGTGTCGTTCCGGTCAGCCGTGGCATACGACACACAGTTTGCCAGCAGAATCCCCAAGGTGATGCAAAACTGGTACCCCGACACGAGCGCGCCTCTGACTTTCCTTGGCGCAACCTCCGACATGTACAGGAGAATCGTCGCCGAGATGAACCCAACTCCCAAACCGGAAACTAGACGGCCCATAACGAAGAGGGCGACTTGGTTCGTCGACGCGATCTCGAGTATGCAACCAAAGCAAAATACAACACAACCGATGATGATGGTGGGCCGGCGGCCGATGAAGTCGGCAAGATCACCAGCAATGAGGGCGCCAAAGAACGTTCCGCAGGATAGAATCGACGTCATAAGTGACTTGGTTGAAGATGGGAGTGCGAAGTCGATCGGGTCCACGCCGATGGGTCGTTTAGCTTCGTAGTCATACTCTAGTCCAGTATACTGTGAGATGAAGAAGGGCATGCCGAGCACCCCCGACATCCAGCCCGTATCATATCCGAAAACTAACTGGAAGTCAGTACAACGCCCCATAAAAGAAGAAAATCACAACGACTTACATATCCCACCGAAGGCGGCAAAGGCACAGAGAAGGTAGGCCTTGAAAGTGACTGGGGCTTCAACACGGGACAAATCGGCCGTGCCTGATATCTGGGGTATCGCAACGCCAACCATCTTGCAGTTTAGATGATGTTGGACAATTAAGGGTGAAGGCGGCGTTGGGGGCGTTGGTATACGACGAGGGACCCAGGCTGGCTCGAAGCCAACAGCCCTCGCCTTGGCCTCGGCAGACTAATAGTGCCAAAGATATGAACGGGGGCGGAAATATTCAGTTCTGGTCCGTTCAGCGAGAAAACCAGGTGACACGCCCTCTCCCAGCGCGGAAATATAAGAGACAAAGGAGAAAGAAAGCGAAGGAATGTGGCCAAGGACAAGGGGGGGCAGTCGAAGACGTTTTTTGAAGCAAAAGACAAGAAGAAATGCTCAAGAGGCTAACGATGTGGGCGAGCGCCCAAGAAGAAGAACAAAGCCCAAGAATGACTACGCGGTCAAGGGTTCCTTGAGAGGAGGCGTCGAACGTTGCTCCTCTCCCCTTCCCCCTGGCGACAGGCCTGGGCGAGGTCAAAAACGAGCCAATTTGGCCGAAGCAAGCAAACTTGCAGCCAGGAAAGGCTGGAAATTCTGGGCTGTCCCTCGCAAGGAGGAAACGGAAAAGCATCTCGATTTGCCATGCACTACGCAATCGCATGGATCCCGCAGGGGGGTTCGCGGCTTACAACTCCGTGTGAAGTTCGAGGAGAGAAAGCAATGAAGAATGCCTAACGATAGCCTTCGCCACCACAACCCAACAAAAAGAAGGAATGCTCCGCGCCATCCTCCCCCTCATCTTGAGTCAGCTAGTATCCCAAGAACTTTAAAAGGGTCTCGAAGCTAACTGTCTCCAGACTGCCCAGCCCGCTGGGGTCCAAGCTAAAACGCTAGTGAGCTCGAGGCTGGACGGTCAACGAGGACCCTCCATGTCCCCGCACACTTTGCCAATGCCGCGAGCTTCCACGCCAGCGAGGGCGCCACGCAGATAGCGTGCTGTTTGCTTCCTAAAACGTACGCGTTTGGGGCCAGACTCTGGTCCGGGGGCGGACAGGTTCCCCCGGTCGATTGGATACGGGGTCGAATTTTTTCGTCTTTTGTTCTTTTTCGACTCTTCAACGGTTGTCTTTGGTTTTGCGGGACCCAGGCTGCCCATTCCTCAACCAAAAGCAAGGGAGCAATGAGCGGTCCGTCAACCAGCTTCTAGGGTTGACCCTTCGTTAGTATAATTACGGTTCTGCGTATGAGTGTGCCCCCCGTGCTGCCAGGCGTGACGCAGAAAACCGACAAGTACGAATCGTGTCGGTCAAGTAGGTAGGAAGAGCAATCGGTCGACGGGAGTTTTGTGTTTGGTGATGCAGGGCCTCTCAGGCCTTGCGGCAGGCCCCACATCGCTCGCCCGGGATGATCGACAGGGCAGAAGCCGCCCCTGGTCGCTTGCTTTCCCAAAACCGACTGGTCAATGGTCATCCAAGTCCTCGCATCCGGCACATCCAGCATGCACATGCACGGAGTGCAGGTCATGTGAAGTGACCCCTACACGACGACAACATTCATAACAGGTGACTAATATGAAGTACTCCGTAGTGTGGTTGTTCGCTCCCCTCCCCCTGTCAAAAATACAAACCCACGACGACGTCGAGATCAGCATATCTCGTGGTCTACAGGTCCGGTAGCCCTGAACGACGACATAGGAGGCCATCGTTACTTATCAACAACGTAGAAACACCAATTTATTCACTGCTACCGGTGTTCATTCTGCCCGAGGGTCGAATATCAAGCAGCGCGGTGAGCTTGGGGGCTTGCTTTCCACCAAATGGCCGCTGCTAAACTTGAAGCAAGCGAGACGAAAACGGAACGACGCGTCTCGCCCCGAACAAACGTGATGCTTGGCTAGCACCGAAGAAATGCGCAAATGAAATGACGAAGACGGCCTGAAAAGCCAAGCCGATATATCTCCATCAAACAAATCGAGCCGATAGCTAACCAGCAATACAAACGTACATAGTACACAGGAGGTTGGGCAACTGTACTGAGAACATGGATGTCGTAGCTGGTCGCCGATCACACCATTCAAAGACCCCGATATTGGCTGAAGTTCGGCCTTGTCCAAGCATTGGAATGCTATCTGTAGCCCACGTTTCCAAGGCTGGCGTCAATTATCAAGGAAAAAAATTAGGTTGGGTGGCAAAAGTATGATTTCGTCCAGGTTCGAACTGGAGACCTTCAGTGTGTTAGACTGACGTGATAACCAACTACACCACGAAACCATCAGGTTTTGATACAAACCTTTCCCAAAGTCGTAGACTAAGTAGCAGGTAGTAAAATACCCAATCAACGATGCCAAAGGCTGATATGTAAGGTTGTCAAAGCGGCCGGCTTGATTTGAGGCCCAAGACTCGACGGGCGTCGTTAACATTCGTGCTCAGTGTGTATTGAGCAATAAATATTCTGAATCTGCAAGACGCTGTAGATGGGAACAAGACCAAAAAGTTGGCCAACTCAGTTTGTAGAGCCGATATACATCAGCACCCGGTCTCTAACCCCAGAGCACCCGGCCCCCTCATTGCAAGAACATGGTAAACTTCTAATAACAACACGATCCACCGCTTCACTCTCTACACTCAATCTACACTACATTACACTGCCCCGAAAAGGCGTTTTTGCACTCCCACAATTCTCACATACATGAATGCTGTCGATCTGACAGATTACACGCAGCCTGCATAGCTCTGGGCACACGTTGGTTGCAGGCTCCATCCTGCAAGTCACGTCATGCGCTGCATGCCGCAGAAACCTTTTTTGAACGTCTATGCTTCGACAAGGTCCTAGGACAATAGTATGGGTTTAACATCAAGTCAATGCAAGGCCAGGGAAACGTGCCTATTTGGTGAGAGCTCGGTGAAGGAAAGTTCATGATAAGTCCTAGATGTTATTTCCTAGCTTGGTTTGGCATGTCCAGAGATACCAAGCAATGTTCGAGGAAGTAAACGATCACAGCCAAGAGGGTAGAGAAAAGCGAGGCCAGAAATATCCAAAGAAGACCAGGTATGTGCAAAATTGGCATATTATTGTGTCTGCTCGGCAATTAGGAACAAGAAGTCAAACTCAGTACACCCGCACCAAAAAAAGCAAGAGCAAAGTACAAAAGCCCGAGGATAGTCTCGGCAGAGTATCAAGAGGAAGAATAAAACAGCTCATCATATGCCACGGCCAAACAAGAAGACAACCCCCTCCTTGCTCCTCACTAGGTATCGCCTTGGATACCCAAACACCGCATCCACCTCGGAGTCCAAAAACCGTTTCGTCCGTCCAGAAACACATACAACATTCCAACTTTGCACAGTTTTGGGGTGGAGTAGATTAAGGTAGTGCTGCTGATTTTTGTCGTGGCTCATAATAACTTTCGTAAAAGGCGGTGTGCTACCGGAGTTCCAAGAGACCGTCTTTTTGCCGAAGTGACTGCCGTTTATGAGCATCAGAGAAGGGCAGCAAAACCAGCGGCCAGGAGGACGAGAGCGCTCGCGGGGATGGCAAGGTTGTTGCCAGCACCCTCCGTAGGGTGGCTCTCAGTGGGCTGCGGGATTTGGACAGACGAGACGGCCGTCGTGTTGGCAGGGATGATGCTCGAGCTAGGCAAAAGCGAGATGCTAGACGACGAGAAGGAAGTAGTGGATGCGCTGGTGCTAGTGTGCTTGGTAGAAGTGGAGGTGGTGGACGTCGTGCTGGAGTGCTTCGTCTTAGTCGAGGTCGTCTTAGAGCTCGACTTCGAGGTCGAAGTAGAGGTAGAGGTAGCGGGAGGAGGGGTCTGCGAAACCAGACCGCTGGTCACACTGTAGGCGGCAGCGCACGCAGCCAGGTCCATCCCTTCGGGGCAGCACCAAGTCTCCTTCCCGACATCGGCGGCGCAGTAGTAGCCAGCCTCGCAAGTGTCTATGAAGCGTCAGTATTGAATTACGTCAGTTCCAGTTGTGTCACATACTGCCGGACTTGTCAGGGCAGCAAAGCTCGCCGGCGGCGGGGTTGAAGCAGTGGATCTGGCTATCGACGGAGCTGCAAGTCTCGTAACCAGCACCGCATGCCTCCGCGCACGTGTTGCCATCGCCACACATCGTCTGCTCCGGTTGGTATCCCGAGTGGTCGTCGCGACGCATCAGTCCGAACAGAGAGCGGGCGGAGGCCTTCATCATGGTTGGCTTATAGGGCATCGGCTCGGCGGCGACATTGGCGGCGAACGTGAGAGCCGCGAGAGCGGCGATAGACTTTACGAGCATTGTGGTGGATTGGACAAGTTGTTGGATTGGCGAATGGAGTCGGGTTTACGCGTGCGACGTCGGTCGGTGGCTGAGAATAACAAGGTAGTCGTAATAGACGAGGTTATGAAGTCCGTAAGGAGTGCTGTAGGCTGCGGAGAAACGAATGGATCGAGTGCGAGACTCTAAAAATGAATGACTGTTTCTTGTGATGATCGTGGGATGGCGGAGAAAGGGCGGATGAGCGAGAAATGAGGGTGATAAAAACCGAGAGCCACGATCTGGGGGGCGGCCCAGCAGGCTCATCCTCTGCTGAATTGCCAGGGCAGTTTTGGGAAGTACCCTCACAGCAGGCAGCCGCCCGTGAAGTACATGAGGTGCCAAGGAATCAGCCAGCGGATCTCCTTAATTTTAGACACGCCGTTTGCCGTGCAAGGAACGTTCCTGCGTCTTTCCCCGGCAATCCAGGAACACGGCCAATGAACGCCGTTGCTGCCCAAGCTGTGCTCACACAACGTTCCTTCGCTTTGCCACCCGCTCCAATTCAATTTTTGCATGTTGACGATTTTTAACCTGTCCAACCTACGGCACAAGATGTTTGGCAAAACCACCTAGCCCTGAGCCCAACGCAAACCAGTGGCTCGGAGGGATATGTATAAACATTCAGCAAACGGTTGCGCCTCTGCCCCTGAAACACGAATGCTCTTTCCGGCCGAGCTGTCAACAGGTGGGGCCTTGGCAGCAGTCTGCCAGCTGCTAGCTCCTGTCGATGCCGATCAATAAAATGAGCCAAGGCTTGGTCGAGAAACAACCAACTATCCTCCCTCTCGCCGGAACTCCAAGTTCTCGACCGTCCTCAACCCACAACCAAACGATCGAGGCAAGCGAGAGCCGTCAACGAACTGAGAATTGGCAAGCACCCCGATCACTTGAAACCGACCACTCTGATGGGCGCTTGGTAACAACTCGTGAGAGAGGAGCAGCAGCGACTGGGTGCCGCCTCACTGTCGTATTTCCAGGGGGCGGCTCGAGCTTTGCGTTTCAACCAATGACGGCCTACACTTCAACGCTGGAAAGCCCCACATAGGCTCCACCAACCAATCCGGGCGCAACGAATCCAGAACGGAACGGAACGCGACGTTGAAGAAACACGGTGAGCCCGGAGTTGCTAACCTCATGTGTGCCGCAAGTTGTTCAGCGCCAAATGCCAGAAGTCACAAGACAAGGCTCCCATCCTCTTCTCCAGTTGCAGTGCAATAGCGTAGTCTATGGTAGCGCTTGATGTGGACCGAATTCGTAAATTGACATGTTTGGATTCAACCGCTAGCAAAAAGCGCGCTTGCGCTGTTGCCCATGATTATATAACTACCCAATTCCATCGACGCTATCAAGTTGCTTTCAAAGTCCGTGATAGCTTCTCGGGTCAACACATCAGATGTCGATTGTCTAGACCACCAGACCGGCCCACGGTTATGGGCATTTGCCTTCATCGTAGTAGACCAATGCCTTGTAAGTAAGACTCCTAGAATTTGAAAAGCTAACTCCTCAAAACGCAGTCTAGGCAGCCGGTTTTCTCCATTCCAAGAACCCAAGCTACCAACAGGGCCTAATGCAATAACAGAGAACATAGCTTCCACACCGTATTCCCGGCCTGAGAATCAAGTAAAGGTCAAACCCCTGTAAACATCATTGCTTGTTCAAGATTATGTGACGGGTCTTTGACTGTTATCCTCTTGAAACGGTTTTACCGACTGTAATAACGAGGCTACGGACCTTTTCGGCACTCGCTAAACCTGATAACTCTACTATGGGCTACTTACGGACTATGAGACCTTGGGATGGTTCACATTGATATAAGTGTGATCCATGCCGTAGCCCCCAGACCGGGCCTCTTTTCGAGCCTCCCCTACTCCTTCCCACGTCCCCTTTCAAGTGGGCAAGCATGTTAAAATCGTCTGCCCGCCTCTCCATTCACCAATTTTTCTATGATTCCAACAAGAGGCAGCTCTCGATCTTACCCTGGTTCGAGTCTTGAAGCTACCTAAGCTGCTCCTCAGACGTATTACACCATACAGTAAGCCGGTGATGTAGATCCTATACATGAGCCCCAAACTTGACTCTGGGCATTAACTTCTAGATTCTTCTAGTTCGGCCGTGGGTAGGCTTCTTTACAGTTCCCATTTGATTTCACAGAGCTAGGATTTCTGCAATGATATTTGCCCTAACCTGGATCATCGTGATAGATTATCTAAGGTAGCACAAATCAAGTTGGTCCAAGACTGGTGCTCCGCCAAAATCCGGCCGACATCGAGGCCGCATTCTCATGCTCCTTCCCTCCCTCACTAACACACCGCCCCTCCGGCAGTATGCATAGAAGGTCCACGTCCCTCCTGCCACCGAGCCCCCCAGAATACCCCCAACTTGCCAAGTGATGTAGTTGGCTGGGGGGCCGCCATGCGGCGGCCTCACCCCTCGACAACCGACCGAGAGGCTGCCGGTTCAATCCGGAGAAAAACCCATCGGGGTTTTCGTAACCAAGCACTTTCCTTTAGCCGGTGAAGGAGGTCGGCTGGTGATCCTTTTGGTCCTTCTCTTTTTTTGGTTTTCGTCTCTTTCCTCCGCTTGTCTTCTACTCTATTTACTCCACGATGATTATGTAAACTCGAGTTTGTGAAGTCAACGGGCTATGAATCTTGACACCACGCTGTTGCACCGAAAATCAATTGGGAATCCGGTGAGCTATAACTATGGCTGTCACGGATGGACGTAACTGATCACTGTGTACCACCCTCAAAAGCGAGACCGTAGTTCAGACTGTCTAGCCGAACTAGGGGTTGCGGGTATGAACCACACTGTCACAACCGCGACAATGGCGTTTGGGCTCGTGGTATCGCTTATGGTAAGCTAAGCCTAGGACCCAGATGTGACGAAAAAGAATACTGTCTCGGTGTTGTTGTAGCAATTATAATTACAGATAGAACCCCAGATGGCCGGATGGGTTTTTACAACCGTATTTAACGGCCTGAGTCTCTTGGTAAATACAATAAATAATATTGAGTCTCAAGATTGTACGGCAAGTCACACATTCTTGTCTCTCCCGGAGTCTACACAGTCGCAAAACAAGGCACTCACAGGGTCGAAAAACTATACTTCCACCTGTATTTGAGAGCCACAGTGATTTTGACAGGCTCAGAGCAGTCCAATCAGCTAGCCTGTACCTCAAGTGCTCTGTTCAAGGATCGATTCTACAAGAAAATCGCACATGGTCGACATTTATGAAGCTGTGAACTGAATGTATTCGATAAGAACTCTTAGTACTGAATTATTGTACCAACGATTCATGATAATGCCTGGTCAAGGAATCCTTTGATCATTGTTAGTTTTCGTTTCAAATCAATGCGCTCCTTAATTATATGTTTCATGGAGGACTGCATATTCTTCTCTCCGTTGAAAAACACCTCATCATTTCCAAGCTGACGATGACCCCTCACTCTGAAACCCCAGCAGATACTCATCAAGACCCAGAATTCATAATGCTCAGCTCTTGAACCCAGTAAAAGGTAGATCGAGTTCTAGCATCGTCCGTAAAGTGAGACTAGATTATTGGCTCAGCGTTGACCTTTTCACCCTCGAATAGACTCAGGGTTAACTTGGCGAGCATCTCCCCACCTCACTTCACAGGGGGCGAGGAGCTCCTCGTAAACTTTCTGTTGGAAGTCGGCGAGAAGCTACCTGACTTAAAGTTTAAGATTTGAGCTTCTACTGGACGGGTTGAATTTGCACAACAATGGATGAACGCCTGCAATAATTACGGTAAGCAGCTCCAATGCTGCTCTGTACGCTTCAAGCCTGCCGCCGCGAGCCTCTTATGGAGTCATATAAAACAGTAACTGGCTTTATGCCCGAATAAGAGCTTCCTATGGGACTAGAAAGTGAGGCTTCTACTTGATTGTCGTGTGATATGGCGATGAAGAGCCTCCTAGTTACTAACCTGCCATTCGGGATGGGTCGTTTTCCAATAATGACTTGGAAAGTAGACCTGCTGTAATTCTAATCTCAAGACCGACCAAGGAGTCTGCAATAAGTAATCTGAACCTCCGTACATCACCCTCTTTTTACGACCCCTTCAAGGGGTATTTACATGACCCTCGGTTTCCGGGGCAATAGTATGATGGTGATAGAGTGATGTTTCTTAGTAGCAATCTCTAGCACAGCAGAGGTACCTAGAAACGACTCGCAAGCCTCGCCCAATGGGGTCATTCGAAAATGAGTCGGGCCGAGCTACAACCTTAACGGCCCGTCCTCCTTGAAGTTCAAAGGGGGTAGGAAAATCCATAGCACGACGCCGCGCGGTATGGATAAGTCTTCCCTGCATATACATACACACTTATGAGTATCGGTGACTGCGGGCATCCGGACACGGCACGAAACGAGGCTGTGGGCGACTCAAAAGAGCGGCACTAGCCGGGTTTAAGGATATCTACTTGATCTGCGTTCCACACATCTGTCTTTTCCGTCTCGATCTAGACGTTTAGCGAGGCACCTTCGAGGCCTTCGACTAGAGATCGCCCCACCTCTTGCAATTTAGATGCTCGAGCCAAGAAGAGCCTCTCATGCGGCGATAAATTGCCAGCCTCCGTTTTCGTCATCTTCTGCAGTCGCTCACTTACCGAGCCGAGCCCTAGATATCTTCTGGAAGCGGTCCATCTTAGCCCGTTGCAAATGGAGGCTAGAAAAGTGGGCTAAGAGAAAAACAAATGGAGCAAGATCGAACGGAGACAGGCTACCATACCCGAGGGACATTGCCCTAGAACGTGAAGTGACAGGCAAGGTGGTCTCAGACCACACGGTCAGTCAAACACCACCTACCATCTCACGGCACATGCCTGCGTGGACGATCGGGAGCCTCCCTGTGGCCAGATATGCGAGCGCGGGGTTCACCCCGTCTTCCCTCCCTTGCGCTTACTGTGGTTGGCTGTGTCTTGGCCAAGCTGTTCTGTACGCTGAGAATCTAGGTCGGCATGTTCCTGTCGTTGGATCTCCGCGGAAGCACGTGGGGCAAATCGTTCGATGAGCCCAAAATTCGGTTGCAAGCACCTCCGGCCGGGCCGTAGAAAAGACCAACAACCAAGCCGTAGCGGTATCCAATCCTAGCGGCCACCTACAAAACCTTCGGAGTGTCGATATTTACATTGAGGGAGGTGATCTTGGCACGTTCCGGTGGTTCTGTCATACAACCCCCTTCAAAGACGGCATCTTCCTTCCTTGATTGAGCGGGCGAGCGGCGCCAACCTCAGGGCTAGAAAAGCTCAACACCACTTTCCTGAAACCTGGAGGAGGGTTGTACGGCATGCACGGGTAGGTCGTCGTAAGGACCGTAAGTGTTTTGTACAGCGACTTACAGTTAAGGACAGCGAAGCTGCGGCGGGATGAACAGGTGGAGGGGAAGGTGTGGTGGCCGGTCGGATCGGATCGCAAGCCCGAGAGTGAGTTCTCCAAGGGGGGGAGCGGCAGGGCATAGGTGCAAGACGTCGGAAGAGGACCGGGGGTTCGTTTCTAGGGCACACTCGGGGAAAACAGTGGTTGCATATCCGCTGCAGGTAATCTATGCAACCGAACCGTTGGGGCCAAAGGGTTCCAATTGTTACCACATTATCGTGCAAGATTTTGTCTGCGGAGTGGGGGAAAAGACCGAAGGTAGAGAGGGGCGTATTTTGAGCTTCAGCGAATTTAAGGTGTGTGTTGGTTAAGTCATGAAGAAAGTAAAATGTCATAACGTGAAGGCAACCAGAACCCCGGGCAAATATAAGGGGAAATTGGGCGTTCTCATTGGTCATCTTCCAAACTCACAGCTGGCTTCTTCCTTTGTTAAACCTCGATATCTAGTCTAGAAACGAGGTTGATGTCGCAATGAGAACGCTAGATAACGCACCCCCCCCCCACAAGCGATTGCGGTCCTTGGACAGGCTGAATCGGCTCGGCCTTCACCGGCTGCAACCCCGCCTGCCGCGCAACAAACTGGTTTCTTGGGACCGCTGGCAAGGTAGCATGCCGCGATGAATCCTCCCGTAACTTTCATCGGAGGCGTTCCTGAGGATCGAGCCGACCCTCCATTCTCACGCCGCTCAGGGGGTCGTCCTTCTGGAACAACAGGCTGTGGTTCTGTACAAATTGAGCCGCGGATGCGCCTTGGTGTCTGCAGCCACCAAAACATTGCCACACCGAGGTGGGATATTCCGAATCGCTCCTCAATTGAACCGGAAACAACGATTGCAACCACATCAATGGCGACATGAACAGAAGTACTGACCATTTTCGTGAGATATAGGTTGTGTCCAAAAGAGGCGTGAGCGTATCGTGGCAAAGACCATCCCCCCCTCCCCAGAACGCACACGGGGTCAGTAGGCTGGCGCTGCTCAAAATGCATCGTTGGCCATATCAACTCCTTGGCATCACCCGAGAAGCGGCCGAAAACCCGAAGCCGATTGATACAGGTTATCCGACGTACCCCGAACCGAACATCGGCATGTTGTTTTCATCTCGGAGGAGCAAGACGGGTTAGGTGAAGTTCTGGTATCGTTGCAGAGACAGGGAGGGATTTCGGGAGTGCTTCAACTATCGCTGCGCGGTATCATTATCTGTCCTTCGGGTGGGCTTTCCACGTCAGCAGGACCTTGATTGTCACCATTTTTTGTGTCGGAGGGGTCCTCATCGCCTTCGTCTTCGTCATCATCACTGTCACGGCCTGGTTCCCGAGTTAGCAGCAGGTCTTCGCTCCCCTGCCATTGAGACGGCATGGGCGGCAATTCGTCGTCGTCATCCCAACCATATTCCTCATCTTCGCTATCCGCAACCTCGAAATCGGTTTCGCCCAACTTTCGCTTTTGCGCGGGGTTGGAATCCAAGGTCCTAGATTGGGTGCCATCTTCATCCTCCACTGCGACGAGTCCATTCTAGTACCGTCAGTGAGCTGGAAATATGACCATCTCAAGGAATACCTTTGACGTACCGGAGTCACCCGAAAGGCGCAGATACCCACGATCGGCCCACGGACCATCTTTCCATTCAACTTTTGGAGGGCAGCAAGGTGTGCACCAGGAGTATCAGAGCTCTGCCCGAGCCAGTCACGGAATAGGACCAACCTACTCGACATTCCCTGTTCCCAAACATTGGCGTTGATAGCCGGTGTGAGGGTGGCACCACGTTCCGCTTGCATTTTGGTGGCACATTGTGTGAGAACGACGACAGCCAAATCTCGCGTAGCTGCCAGTTTTTGGAAACTGCCGATAATATGATGGAGGACTTGCATGCGCCGGGCATGAGCGGACGGCCCTTCACTTGAGTCAGTCGATTCTTAGAGATGGTGATATCAGCTGAACGGTGGCCGGCCTACCTTTGTTAACATTTGCATCCTTGGCCGCTCGCGCTTCGGGTAGCTTTGGGAAGGCATGGTTGACTAGGGCAGATAGCGAATCCACGACGACAAGCGAGGTCCCCGGCGGAATGCAAGACCCAGTTGGCCTGCAAAGAAGCGCAATGAGATGCGGTAGCGTCGGGCACATGTAGTGGGTAAAGCCGTCTAAGCGACCGAGATCTGCACCGTCGCCTTCACCGGTCGCTTTACCGAGTACGGAGCGGAGGCGCTCGATGGGTAGGCGATGAAATCCATCTGGACGAAACGTTAGAGCCCTCCCAAAAACTGCCACTGGAGCGGTAGGTATCGGACAAACTGACCTACCCACAACACACGACCGCGTTGGTTAAGGCAGTGGGCGGCGAGTTGAATACTGTACTCGGTGAGCAAAATAAGTCGTTGTACCTGTTATGCCCGGTCCGCGAACATACCCTAAAGCCGTTTTACCAGCCCCGGGAGGTCCCCAAACTTCTGTTACATGGCCTTTTTGTATCCCGCCTTGGCCAGAACCAAGAACAGGATCGAGAGATGCATCAAGGCTTGGGAGGCCGGTGATGAGGCCGGGTGAGTTGGCTTCTTCTAAGGCTTGCAGGGCTTCCGCGGCCGAAACGGTAGGGAGGCGATCTGAATAGGAGTGTTAAAAAGCTGAAACAACACAAAAATAACCGGTACATTTGGGGTCTGAGAGAAGGGAGAAAGAAGGGAGGGGGTGAAATACGCGTAGAGGGCAGATCAAAGCTCGAGACGTCGTGGCCGTGGAGGGCGTGGTAATCCATCATCAGCATTCCATAATTCTGGAATCTAGGAGCTGAGAGCTCAGGGGAATCGACAGGCCTAGCCAATAGTTGCAGGTTTTGCGCCTTCCGTTCCCAAAATTCCGAATTAATGTGGCTTTAGTGACACGTCAATTTGAGTTGGGAATTACTTGGGGACCGTTTGTTGCCTGCGATTGTCCCAAACCCTGGTCACATGCGGAAAACGTAGCGGGGGTTGGGGTTAGGGTTACACACATGTCCGTGATCCCATCCAACCATCCACCAAAAAGAAAACAGCGGCAAAACTCCAGAGAAAAAAATCTGAAAAAAACATGCGGTTTATGTGGATCGAACACATGACCTTCAGATTTACTTTCCGAAGTTTTTCTTCAGTCTGACGCTCTCCCAACTGAGCTAAACCCGCGTGTTGAATAAAAATAACCGAAACTGCAGTACTTCAACTTGCTTGTGACAGGCTCCCGCCGATATTTTTTCACATGTCATCTTCCCACAACACCATGCGGGGTGATCAACAAGGCTGGAAATATGGAGGGTTGCACGGGATGGGCCGACCGAGACTACTGCACCTTCGCGATAAGCCATGATGTCATGATCCCATTCACTTCAATCCTTAGCCCCGGCTCACGATGATGGCAATTGAGGTTGTCGCGCCGGCCGTTTTGTTATAGTCCGTCATCTGGACTGGATATCTCTGGGCTTGGTTAGGGTCCTGTCTCACTGCTGTGACAATGCTACCGGGAGCACTCGCCTCCATGATGGCTGGCCGGTTTCCCACTTCCATCCACGGCAGTTTCTCTGCCACGGATAGAAACGCCAAGCTATCATGGTGGCCGTTAACACCGGGCATGTGAATCACGATGGGTCACCGTTCCCGCGGGTATCATCTCCAGACTCGGCCCCGGGACCATCCCGCTAGAATTTCCACTCCCCAGAAATGTCTTCAACCCCACAAATCCCAAATAGGGCAGGTTGCTCGACGTTCACATGCAAAACTTTGCTCGCTGGATCCGCGCCGCCCAAGCGTGCACAATTTGAATGGCGATGGCGACACGTTTGTGTAAGTCCTTGATCCTCCGCCGGCCGAGGAGCCCGAAGGAATCCCATGCCAAACCGAGGCCAGGAGTTTATGGAATCGCTTCAGCGGAAACGAAATTTACGATGAGTTGCGGGACGGAGATATCCAGCTGACCGTCGTGTTTCCGGCCGAAAGGTAAGACTTTCCGACCGCTCCCGCCAAGGACTGTCGGCCTTGATGTTGCACCGTCGTCATAACGCCAGGCTTGCGAGGGGGTAAGGTTTTCATCCTCAACCCTTGCAATCACAATGATAACCGCGAGTGCGGTTAGGCGATGTTCTGCCTCGGACGCTCACAAACCCGACAGAATACACTAGTGTAGTGTAGTCCGCCCCTTTTCCTCCCAAGAAGGGAGTGAGGAAATGGCATTTTCCAAGCTGGTTTCCTTTTTTGACCACGTCGCCCTGTTCATCACCTCCACTATCGGGCCTGCCCCCATGTGATCGCAGGGGCCGATGCTGGTTCGTTGGCCCGTGTCAATCTCGGGATCGAGCCGCGAAAAGCTGGGGAGGCTCGGAGGCTCAAGAACTGGGGGCGTGGGGGGCGCGTGTTCTCGACCCTTGTGGCCACCTATCCATCCTCGCCCACCAAAAAAAAAGACAAAAAAGGCGAGTTTACGAATACTCCACGAGAAAGCGGGCCATCGTGGTCGGCGCACCTGGTCTCCTAGTGCGTGGATCGGGAGTTCTCGGCATACCCGAAAATTGAGAAACCGGTTCTTCCCTCTGGTCCGGGAGAAAACCCGCCTGCAGACGCGACCGCCGTGGACACAGCAAAGGGCAAAGGAATCGAAGAACTGTCGAATACGGATACTTCGTAGTCTTTTTCCTGTCCGTTTGGCCCAAATCCGTTTGTTGAACACTTGTTGTTTCCCTGGGCCCCACACAGCCCAGATCCAGAACCACCCCAAACTTTCTTTCATCTTTTCTTGGCTGCCACTCGCCCAGAGCCGAGCTGCACCAGGTTCTGAATGTGGTTGCCCTGTCCAGGGGAAATGGTAGGCTGCGGAGCCGCCGGATAATTGCGATTTTTCGAGGCGGGCGATCGATCTCCGTGCAGCCCGCGCAGCAAGGCTTGGAGCCGCATGCATCCACCAGTCAAAAATCTGGATCTCCGGAATGCGGGAAACGCTGGGCATTGAAACCGTGGGAGTGGGAAAGCAACGCCTCCAAATTTTGTCACCGGTCCGATATTCGAGTGGTTCCTGGAGTTGAGATCGCATGACACGGGTCCGCTCAGGTCAGCGTGAGGGCCTACTCCTCTGTCTCTTCCTATCTTTTTGATAAGTCGGTTTCAGCCAAATCTTCGGGCCTTCTGTGGACCGCGGCAATTACATATCGTTGAACCGCTCACAAAATGACTCGCAAGCAGTCATGCTCAACTTCCTTGTCGCCTGGCGCCTCGGCCAAGCTCGGAGAGAGGGCGAAACGCGAAAGAAAAATTCTCTGTGGGACATTCCGCCAGAGGCAGGGATCGTGTTGTGCTTGGGTCAATGGAAGAACGGTGAAAGTCTGCCAACAAATACATAACGTTAGTGGACTGTTTCCTGGTGGGCTGGGGAGAAAGCCGAGCCAAATTGTTCGGATGAAAGGGCCTGCCAAGAAAGCTCGGATACCCTAGGGTTGCGGGATTCCCAGATCCCCAAATACCGGGTCGTTCATGTTAACGTTAACATTGACGTTATCGGAGAAAAAGATCTCCCCATCACTACGCTGCACTAACAGGCCACTAAGCCGACTATCGCATGGCTCTCGTTTCTGACTCAGCCGGCTCCGCGGCAAGCAACCTCTCTTTTGAAGGGCGCACCTCAGTGTTGGCTCTTCGGCCCGGTTCCAGCGTCTCGTTCTTGGCCCCCTGGAGACAACAAGAAAACTTTTCGGTCCAGGGAGAGGTGGCGCACCCTCCTGGCCCCGAGGAGTCGCCGGTCCGAGGAAGTCAAGGAGAAGAAGAAAAAAAATAGAAAACGCCGGTATTGTCCTGTATGAATTTTACGTGCCTGGTTACAGCGGCAATGCAGAAACTACGAAATCAATTTCGCTCGCAGAGGATGGAGATAAGCCAATGGGAGATGCGATCGCGAGGGGATGTGAGAAACATCCCACCTGGAGACTCAGGATACAGAGGGGAACGGAGGTTAGGGGTTGAGGCGTGATGCATCCGCGGGCGCTGATACGATGATAAAGCCCCGCACGCAAAATGTGAGACCCCCACGCAACCGGGCGGCTCATAGTGTCGAGTGTGGATGAACTGACGAAGCGAACGGCTGGTACGAAATCCGTATCCATCCACGGGCCCTTCGTCAACTTGTTGCAAGGGGCGCAGCCGGACGAACTCAACATTTATTATCCTAGTTCTTCTTTCTTTCCCCAAGCGGCCCCCAATGATGAAGTTGCGATACATCCTCGGCAAGCGCCCCGAGCACTAATAACACACCTCCATTCAAGAGATCCGAGGATGAGACGCGCTTATCTGGATCGCCGGCGTGCAGCGGCCGAGATTCGGTACCCCGGATTTTGGGGCTTTTGGCCGAAGGAGTAAATCACCCCGCTATGGCTTCCTCCGACAAGAACATACCTCCCTCGAAGCTCAACGTGCGCTGCTAAATGGGGGCTCAGAGGATGATGTCGGTAGGTCTTTCGACTGCAGGTTGTAAATATGTTGCCAAATCCAGCAATTCTGCAGAATGTCGGGCGCAGCGGGAGACGGAGTTGCGATATTGATGCGCCGGGGCCTCGGAGAGAGACGGAAGCGAGCTAGTTGGAGGGTTCCCCACATTCCACAGATTGCGTCTTCGACCCTTATCTTCGCGCACTGTTTGCCTCACTCCTCCTGCCATCGGAAGCGGGAAAAGACTGAGAAGACCGAAGAAGGCACCCATATCTTTCGTCCCCCGATCATGCGCCTTGAATCTCTGGGACTCGAGACTTCTGTCGAGATTTTGCAGTTTTTACATGATCAGATTAAAAAAGTAGGTGGTTTGTGATGTGTGGATACGGCCGATGAAAACCAAGAGACTGGGCGACTGGGCACGCTGGCCATCGGGCCTCGTCGTCTGACGTCTGTCAGATCACAAGCTCGCCGGTTGAACGCCCTGAATTAGAGGCAGGGATTGCCCCGCATGGGTTTCTGCCTCCCCAGAAACGCCATCACCATCCGTCAACACGTGTACGCGGGAGATCAGAGGAGAACTTCGGCACTTTGTGGGTTCGATAAGATGGAGAGAGCAGTCGAGGGAGGGATACGGCCTTCCAAAGGAAAGCCGAGGAGGGGACCACCTCTTAGTTTGTGGTACCCTTGCGCAGGTAGCCTTCGTTATCTCCGCTGTTCCCTAGCAAACGGTGAGAGGTCTCGGTGACCTGTGAAAGACACTAGGAGTCTGAAGCAAGGGGAGGCCAAGACGCGTCCCAGCCCAACCAGTTGCACCACCACTCAGCCACCACCCACACCGCCATGGTGTGCAAGCGGTTTTCTGGCGGAAATCGTCATTCTCTCAAGCCAACCCCACCTCGCTCCCGGAACGAGCAAAATAATCTAGTCGGGAATTCTTTATTAGCCCCAAGATAAACGGCCAAAACTGCACCTTAGGACACGCCGGCACGTAGGGCCTCGAAGCCTCGGCCGAGTTGCCAAACCTTTAGGCATGGAAATGGCATGTACTGGCGTAAAGGGGAAACTCGTGGCGAGACACAGAACGACAGAGACTGCGGAAATGATGTGTTTGGATGTGCTGTCACCTGCGCGAGAGCCTTCTTGGCTAAAAACATGGCGAGCCGTGACGAACAAGCTCCCCAAGCAAAAATTGCAAGACACTTGGGCCAGTGCCAGATGATGCCGTCTCGTCGATCATTGTTGTCTGGTTTCCCGCCGTCCGTCTTCATCAGTCGGCCGAGCTCAGGCTGCCCTGCGATTTCGGGTGGGTGGACTGCCCAGCCGAAAAACACCCCACGCTTGGCTTCTCGGCGTCTGACATCCCTGTGCTCTTTCGACCCCACCAAAGCAGAGTCGGTATCCAAGGTCACGATGTTTGTACAGTATGGAGGGCCACGCACATCGCCGGAATAACGCACGAGCCCCCCCTGCCAACCCCTCAGATGCAAAGCGAACCAAAAAATCTCGAGATATAACCGATTCTTGTTTAAGAAGATGCAGGTCGACCAAAATCTACCTGGTGCAGGTGTGCTTGGAGAGGGGACGGGACGGGATATTCTAGGCAAGGGCACCTGAAAAGGTACCGTGTACTGGACATCTATATTACCGCGTATCGTACAGTACCGGCGGAAGGGACCTCGCAATCCAGGTACCGCTGTCCACTATTTTTTTTTTCTTTTCCCCGAGATCCCCCTGGCGTTCAGGCGTCCTCTTCCCCTGTCGCCCTCCACACCACTGAGTCGTTGCAGTCCCGCACCCCCCCTTCCCCCCCGGAGCTGCGCTGTTCCCACACCACATGTCATTTCCACGCCCCCCCAAAGTCAGCCGCCCGCGCCATTTAAAACCAGTGCCGCTTCCCCCAAACAAACCCGCCAGCTTTCTGTCACTTCCCCATGCCGCTCCGAGTTTTCCCCAGCATCAGCACCCCAGACCCCAGATAAGACTAAAAGTCTATTCTGAACTAGATCAGCACTCTGTCTCCGAGGAACAACCAACCAACCAACGATAAACTAACACGACACTCACCGTACTATTGCCCAAGGCCGACACAACAACCGTCGACCTTTGCATCACGACGCCGTCAGCCTGTGATATTCAAGAACTTTACAGAGCGGACATATGCAACGAGCAAAGTCTGCGGTGGATTTTTCCAGCCTGCTGAACCCGGCAGAAGTGGACAGGGAACAGCAGCACCTAGTTCCTTCTCAGCTCTCGCCCGACGCCGAGATGGCGACCGTCGGCCTCATCCGCCCTAATGGGCCGTTGCCTGTGGGTGCACCGCCCGCCGAGCAGCCGACCGAACTCCCCCGGCCCTACAAGTGCACGATGTGTGACAAGGCGTTCCACCGCCTCGAGCACCAAACCCGCCATATCCGCACTCACACCGGCGAGAAGCCACATGCCTGCCAGTTTCCCGGCTGCAGTAAGCGGTTTTCCCGGTCCGACGAGTTGACTCGGCACTCGAGGATACACAACAACCCCAACTCGAGGAGGGGGAACAAGGGCCACCATCAACACGCCGCGATGGTGCACAGGATGCAAGCCGACATTATGCCTCCCCCCCCTGGGCCCAAGATGATACGCTCGGCACCCCCGACCGCTCTCTCCTCGCCCAATGTTTCGCCTCCCCACTACAGCTCCTACGCCATGAACCTCCCGCCGCCGATGAGCCCGTACAGCCGTGGTGCCCCAAGCAGCCAGAGCGGCCCTGACATGGCCATGCTTGCCCGGGCCGCCGGTCAGCTCGAGAGGGACAACGGCTTGAGCCAGCACCACTACCCACCCTCGAGGCAACATCCCTACTACGGCGGGAACCTGCACTCGGCACGCAACCCGCTCCCGGGCCTCAGCGCGTACCACATGTCGCGATCGCACTCTCACGATGATCACGATGACCACTATGCACAGGCCTACCGGCAACCAAAACGGTCGCGGCCTAACTCGCCCAATTCGACCGCTCCTTCGTCTCCCACATTCTCGGCTAACTCGTTGTCTCCGACGCCCGATCACACCCCGCTCGCTACACCGGCTCATTCCCCGCGCTTGCGGCCGTATAGCGGCGTTGAGCTCCCTCCTTTCCGCAACCTGAGCCTCCACCACGCTCCGGCGCTGGCTCCCCTTGAGCCGGCTCCGGAAGGCCTTAACCCTACCCCTCAGTCAACGCCTACGCCGAGGAGTACGGGCATGTCTCTCTCTGACATTATGAGTCGGCCGGACGGTTCTCAACGGAAACTCCCTGTCCCCAAGGTCGCAGTTCACGATCTGCTGAGCCCGGCTGACGGGTTTTCCGCGAGTGGCAGGAGTTCGTCCTCCAACAGTCTCTCGGGGGTCGATCTGTATGACAGGTTGTAATTTGCAACGAGGCACGCGTGAAAAGGCACCCTTCTCCATTTTCAGGGGTTGGACCCTAACGCCCTCTTCTCCAACCTTTGCGACGACATGAATGATGACGGCACCGGGCAAACTATAGAAGGATATATAACCACTCCGGCGTTTTGTGGCTCCTTAATACGGTCGAACTTTGTTCGAGGATGGACATGGCACTCAACTCTTCATAATTTTGGTCTGGACATTGTGGAATTTTACATGGCAGGGCTGGCACGGGGTTACTTCGGCACTTGAGCAGGATAGACATTACCGCTTCATATACTTTGGGAGGGTTTTTCTTTCTCCGTTTTTCCTTTCCTTTTTTTTCTTTTTACTTTTTGGACGGATAGACTTTGTGTTGGGTCTTTCTTCGCGGTGGAGCAACGGAAGACACATGTTTTTTCTTTGTCATGTTGGCGAGGCTTTCGGGCAATTGGGCGTTCAGAAATAGGTGGGCTGGCTTTGGCTAACAACAACACATCAACTCCCAGACTTCTCTTATATTTATCTCATCTCCCTCTCGGTTGGAAAAACCTGTCAAATGTATACTTGCTTAGCCGGAATGATTGCCCAGAACCGGCTGGGATAAGCGGGGCACACAATACTTTGGGTTATCTTCTCTGTGTTTCTTGTTGTTTTTCTAGCTCGCTAGATAACTGTTTGATACGCGCCACGAGTCAACTAAGAAGCCCAATCAAAGAACACAAAAACAAACCACAAATTCATAACAGGTTATTCAAGCACCAGAATACGAACTACATCCCGCTCTCCCTCTTTGTTGTTCAACAAACTCACTCATACATACATCCACGTGTTGCCAGTCAAGTTCACCCTCGTCCTTCTGCCCCTCTTCTCGTCCATCCCTCTATTTTCCCCGGAATACCATCCCCGGACTCGACCAGGCCACGCTGGGCAACAAACCCTGAACCTTCTCTCCACGTTCCAGGCAAGGGTTTGAGAGTTTCGGAAATGGTGGGGGTGGTAAAAAAGACAAAAAAGACATGAAAGCAGACTCGCAGATACGGATACTGCGAGGATGTTTTCCGACAATCTTTGCTTCCTTCCCCCGGGCGGCGGAACGGCGGCTGAAGGCGGCAGGACGGAAAACGACCTACCCCTCGACCCCCCCTTGAACCCCCTCCTCTCCCCGGAAGGTTGGGACCCCCACCTAACAATCGAACCAGTCAACCAACTTCAATCAACGGGCGGCGTGGGCTTTTTGGGATCGAAATCTGGGGGGGCACAAGTGAAGGGAGTGGGGTTTGGTTGTTTTGGTGTGAGAGATCTCTGGCGATGACTGGATGTGGCTGCCTCCGTTTGTTCCCCGGACTTTGCCACTTCGCTTTTTTTCTCGTTTTCTTTTTCTTTTTTTACCCTCTCTTTCCGGATGTGTCTCTGTCCCTTGCTGTTGCGCGCCCTCGGTCTGGGAAATTCTCTCATTCTTTGCTTTTCTTGCTCATTCTCGCTCCCTTACCTCACTTCCCCAGTTAGTTCGTCCCACACACCCCTTGAAGTTTGACAGAGCCTTGCCCCTCCCCCACCCTCAAAATCACACCTAAAATTGTGCATTGCTTTATCCCCCTTGTCCCCGCAAAGCTGGGGTTTTGTCGAGAAGGGTTTCTTGGGCCGCTTGGCCGCCTCGGGGCTCAACGTATTTTTTGAGATGGCATCCCAATAGTTTCCTGCGTCTCGTCGACTTGACACGTCTGGTCAAGTTTTGGAAAGATAACCCGATAGGAGCGGACTCCCCGTGCGGCGGGTTTGTGGGGATGCGACGCTGGCCTTACCTAAACGTTATTGCCGGGAACGGTTACGCGTTCGACCTTGGGCTGTGCAGTGGTGGTGGGGTGGGAGTGTGAAATGCGGGGAGTTGTCTTCTTTTTCCTCCTTGAAACTTTGTTTTGTGGGAGCTAGAAGTCCTCGTGGCCTTGCACTCGTCATAACAGATTGGGTGGTTCCCAACATCGAAGTGGGAGTGCGTTGGGCTGGGGGCTGGCCGTTGTGCGCGAAACACGCCTGCGGCGCCAGAGATGGCGTGGATGGTGTCAACTGGGTATTACATAAAACCAGTCTGAGCGGAATAACGCCAGGTGCCACGATTCGGGCGGTTGTGGAGGGCCAACCCACACTGTGATGAAAAGACCGAGAAAATGTGACTGTTGGAAAAGGACCTCCCACATCTTTCTTCCCTGGTGGCCGCCAATGTCGCGGCCAGCATTGCCCTTGTGGCTGCCTGAGCTGCCCTGTTGGTCTTGTCCGCAGGCTCAGCCTTCCTTCCCGCCCGAGATCCTAACGAATGGCGTCCCAAGGACGCCGCAAAAAAAAAAGTTCGACAACGGCAGAAAGGCACCCAACGACTTTCCGTTGTGCGAGGTGCGCGGGGATACATCACGTCAGCGTTTTGCGTTTCTCCCATTTGGGCCAGTAACTTCTCTCCGTCAGCAAACCAGCTCCCCCCCTTTTTTTTTTCTCGTTGAATGGCATCTCTCCCAGCGCCCCGGGAAATCTTCCGGCAGGGAAGCCAACCAGACCCCTGGCTTCCCAATCGTGGGGGTGAGCCTGGAGTCTGGGGTAACCGCGCCGGCGCGTCGCCCGGTCGTGAAGGACGTCCGATCGACAGTCGCCGTCGTTCCATACCCTGGCCGAGTTGAAGTTTGATGAATCGTTGTTTGTCTGACCAAGAGGCGCCTCATTGAGCTGTCTTTTTTTTCCAGTTCAAATTTCCCCGTGGGTTGAAGGGATTCAAGGGCCGGGGCGCCGGAACTTCCGCGCAAGGACGGGATCAGGGACCCTTGATCTGTCCGGGCTGGGGCCGATCAGCTGTCCCAAATGGACAAGTACGGCGGCTGACAACCACGAGGCGTGGGCTGGCCCAGAACATGGTTTTGTTTCCTTTCGGGAACCAGGAGGAGAACACCGGCGCAACACGGCAAAACGCGGTATCGGAATCGCGCCGCAAATACTGCATCCCGTTGGTGCTGAAAGCCGGAACCCAAACACTCACCGCAACTTCGGGTGATGAGGACGCACGGTCTAGTTAGCTTTGGTTGGGCACGACAGGCCGGGTCCTTTGGCCCGGCCCATCATGTCCACGGGTCTCACGAGGCAATCATCATCGGGGCCGTGGATCGCCAATCTTACCCCAGCTTGCAGCCTCCCCGGTTGGAAGGAAACGTATTGGTTATCTTGCCCGGGAACGCCATGCGGCAGCTCGCCCGGTCGCCGCAAAGCGCGCCTGAAAAGAGAGATGGGGGGAGGGTATCGCACGTTGCTCGGATGAACCGGGGTGTACACTAAGTGTCGTGTAATACGGATACCGGTAATCGCGCGACGACCGAAATTCATGAAACCGCGATGGAGTGTCTCAACAGCCGGCCACTCGAGGTGGCAATGCACAACCATCCGGTGGTTCCCCAGAAACCCAACACCCCCCATCTCTTCCCGTCCGTTGCGAGCCTTGATGGCGTGACAGATTCCCCCGCAATCGCCTACGCCGCCAAGTCCAGGCTAAGGTTCGCGGATCTCAAAGACGGAGTGTTGGGACAAGATCGTATACGGTATCCCACAGCAAAGCCGCGGGGGGACGAGGGATGAGACGATGATCTACAACAAACTTCCTTCTCAGGGCCATCTCTGGCAGGTTTGAGGAGAGTTGTTTGGAATGTGGGGTAAAACTCCTCTCAACAACTCGCAACATTGGAGAGGGCCGGTCCTGAAGTGATACTGAGGGTCCGATAACGCGGAGTCGAAACTAGCTGTCCTTTAAGCGAGGCGGATACGTTTCAAAACCCCAGCGCCGTTGCACTTCGTCGGGCGGATTGTTCGCCAGATCCGCCTACAATCAGAGTTTGGTTGCGCCTGAGAGCCAACCCCCTCGTTCTTGAGCGTGACTGTTTACTGGGCGTTGTCGGACACTACTGGCTTATCGCGGTGCCTATCGGACGTTCTATTCTTGTATGTTGATAATGTTTGGCAAAGGACGGAGTGTGAGCGGAAGGTGCAGCAACAAGCAGGAAATCGGCCACGACGACCAAGATAAGCCGCGACCTCAACCCCTGATTGCGCCATCCGAGTTTGGGCCTTTTGCGGCTCGGTCGGAGCGTCCCCCACGCCCCGTGGGGAAGCGATGCCTTAGCGTCCGTCACCCCAGCTGGGGAAGTCACAGCCAAGGGTCTTCCCCACACACCAACAACTTCGAGAACGTCGGCTGATGCGGGACTGGGGGGCGTGCCGGCAAGAAAGAGACGATGGCCCTTTTGAGATTCTGCGGACCAGAAACCCCGGGGAATCACTCACGGACGTTGTTCGAGACTCTCTTGGAGGGACTCCGAAGGAAGCCAGAAGGGCTCGATCCTCGTCCGCCAGCCAGGATTAGAACTCGACCAGACAGAGTCCTTCTCCGGTTCAAGGCGATGGGAAGGGACTTTCTTTACTTGTTCAGAGCTCCCTCGATCCTATTGCACATGTGGTATCTCTTATCGCAATACCAATTCGCGAGGCAAACGCCCCAAATCATTTCCGAAAGCCCGAGGATCCTCTCTCCAGTTCAGAGAGCTTTTCACGCTAAACATGCTGCACCTGAAGATTGACCAGTGGTGTGTCCGGAATCATATCAAAACACTCTTGTCTCGGTTCTCGTGATAATTTCCTCGACATGATCAACTCACCGGGCGCCTTGGCTGGACCCCGATGGCTGCCGCTGGTCCGGGCATGTGTAACATTCATTTCCGAGATCTCACTTCGTCACCCGTGGCGCCGTGGCACCGAGAATTGGCGTTGCATTATCCGAGAATCGCCTCGACCTGAGGCCTGGTTTGTCTGTGTTCTACGCTCTGTTATGGATAAATTACTCGTCGAAGATAACGCAATTCCAAGTCCCGTGATAGAGGGTGTCAAGATACTGTAATATTCCAGTTTAAATAGATTGTCTTCTGCGTTCTTGTTCAGGCACCCGCGCTAAGTGTCTTTGGCCTACATATCGTCATCCGCCTTGAAGGATGGAACGAAGTCTGGGCATCATCCCTTCGTCTCCTAAAATAGACACTGACCGAGAAATTTAGTCACCAAGCTGCGGCTGATGGAAACCTACTGCGTAACTTCGTGTACCTCCACCGAAGGCCAAGCTCACGAGAATTGCTCCTCTGCTCTGTGGGAGTATCGTTGTCTCCGAGACTGGATATTCGGCAATCTTGGGGAATAAGCCTTTTCTTTGACCGAAATGGTTGCACGATGACCGTTGAAGAAACAGAGGTCCCCGAATTGAAGAGGCTCTAGTACACAAGCATGATGGCTACTGTGCCGCGTAGTTCAAGGTAAATTCGCCTTCCAATTCCTAAAATCCCAGGACGATGTTCCGACACCGATAGCGAGGGTCGAGTTCAAAACCTAGATATATCGGTTGTCCGCCTTCGTCAGTTCCTTGGTGCTCAGCAAAATAGTGCGCCTACAGCTCAACTTCAATCGCGATTCCCTTATTCCTGCATCCCGTAGCATCAATTTGTAGAAAACGCCTTACCTTGCAGGTATGATCCAGCTACCCACTCCAGCGCTGGACAATAGAAAGCGACCGGTAGTTAGCGGATGGATTCTTCGGGACGCCGAGATGCCGAGACGCATCTTTGGAACATCGCTGTCTGTAGATGAGTTGACTGTTCTTTTTCTTAGACCAGAGTGTGCAAGTTTGCAAATCCCATTAGACGCCTAGCTCGCTCGTTTCACTGTTACGCATTCTCACCTGCCCGCTCCTCCCCCATCACTTGTCTAGCCTTTTATCGTGACGTCAATGAAGGACGGTGGTTGGTGTTCATGTTGCCAAATCAGCTCGGGACCGGGGGACTTTGAAGCTAGCCCGACACCTTGAAGACATAGGCCCAATTCGTGTCCGCACTGAGATGCATACGCCGGTGTAGTTGTTTGGACCTTGTGGCGTAGAGTCCGGCTGCCCGGCAAACCTTTCCGGTCGCTCTCCTATCGTTGTCTGAGCGGCCCCCCTCGCTAGGTTTGGTACATCGGCACTCTTGACGTACGCCGAGGCGGATCTTTGAGTAGGTCTTTTTTGGTTCTACCTCACAAGAGACGCGCAACCTTCGTGTAGGTTACCGTTTTCTGCATCGGATCATATTTGAGGCTGCCTCAAGGACCGGGACCAACAAACGGATCGTGTCAAACCGCCTCGGCCTGCATAGGCGAGCGGCTTCTGGTCTCCTTTCGATGGCTTGCAGAGACCGGTGTGCAGTCCTATCTACAAGACGTCAAGGACTCGGCCAAGTCTATTGCTTCTTATTTTGTTGACCGCCGCCCCTCTTGGTGCGTGCGGTGCCTTTCTCTTGCATCTTCCTTGTTTTTTCCATTTCTTCAGGTATTTTGTGCGACGTTTCACTCTCACGCAACAACAGCGGCAATATGCACCTCCGATCCTAGGACCCAGACTCAGCAACTAGTTGGTAGAGATGGATTCAGAGAGTGGAATATCCATGCTTGTCTCTTGGTCTGGTCGATTATCCTCCGTACAACTGTCGGGCCGAGCGGGTGTTCCCTGCGTTTGGCCGCCGGGAATACCAGGGCAAATGGTTTGTTGTATCCTGATTAAATAATTTATCTTGTGCTAGGGGATGAGAAATGGGGCTGTTTCGCTTCTCGGAGGAACAGGACATGTGAGGTTATCATCCCGCTTCACTTTCTGAGTGCGGGTGCATTCGCCTCACTACATGTAAGTGTGTACATCTCTACATAGTAACTAGAAAACCTTGTTGGTTAAGATCAGGCGCGGACACCTGTCTCTGTAGACTGGCTAGTACTGTAGTGACGGGGCGACATTCCCGAGTATGTTCCTTTCCGTCACATAATACTGCGCCTATTCCCATTCCCGCCACCCTTCATATTTTGAGGCCCGCCGTGTGAGAAGGATGCGTGGGATAGGCTGGCAATATGGCGGTTGCAATGCGTCGGAAGCGGGCTCGACGCCTTCGCCATCACCATGGTGGGAGCTCGCTTCCTAGATAGAGCGTCTGCTGGGTCGCCTGTTACCATCCCCCGGCTGGAGGATGAGGAGGAGGA